GATTGATTTGCACTTTTCGCACCAAAGTACATTCATCTCTAGCAGACAGAACGCGTCTCCTTCCTGAGCAGTATGACGGCTTGTGGAGGTCTACTATTTTTTTCTGAGGTCTTGGCTGATTTCTTTTTATTTTCCCATGATGTCAAGCAAAGAGGCACTGAGTTTGAAGGTAGGCATTGAAATACATCCACACGTACACCTCCAATTGACTAAAATGATGTCAATTAGCCTATCAGAAGCTTCTAAAGCCATGACATCATTTTCTGGAATTTTCCAAGCTGTTTAAAGGCACAGTCAACTTAGTGTATGTAAACTTCTGACCCACTGGAATTGTGATACGGTGAATTATAAGTGAATTATAAATCTGCCTGTAAACAATTGTTGGATAAATTACTTGTGTCACGCACAAAGTAGATGTCCTAACCGACTTGCCAAAACTATAGTTTGTTAACAAGACATTTGTGGAGTGGTTGAAAAACACGTTTTAATGACTCCAACCTAAGTGTATGTAAACTTCCGACCTCAACTGTAACTAGCACACCTGATTCAACCAACGAAGGGCTTTGTGATTAGTTGACCAGTTGATTATAATAGAATACATCAAATAAGTGGAACTGGGGTAATCTCGTCCCCAGGCTCAACTGCTACAACAGAAAGAGAGACAATATTAGCTGAGGTAGACGAGGAGAGTTGTGGGATACACCGCTTTAGAATATCTGCATTGAGCTGTAAAGACTGTAAGGGTGCCATCACTGCTCGCTATAACATAACCGGCACATTCCATTCTGTACTGGATCCAGCTTGCACGGGAAGAGAAGGAGGTGCTGGACCTTCTGAGTCTCCTATACCTGCATGACATGACAGCTCCGGCTTGCTGCTGACATTTTCTCTTTAGACTGCACTGGACTTGGTCACACTCAGTGCATTCCCCTAAGAAGCAAGTCATTCAGTACTGTTTCTCTCTCTCTCTCTCTCTCTCTCTCTCTCTCTCTCTCTCTCTCTCTCTCTCTCTCTCTCTCTCTCTCTCTCTGTCTCTCTGTCTCTCTGTCTCTCTGTCTGTCTGTCTGTCTGTCTGTCTGTCTGTCTGTCTGTCTGTCTGTCTGTCTGTCTGTCTCTCTCTCTCTCTCTCCCCCTCATTTCTCCTTTCTTCCCTCTCTCTCTATCTCTCCGTTCTTCTCCCTCTCTCTAGTGAGCTCCCCAGAGGAGCAAGTCCAGCCAATCACACTCTGAGTCCAGGAGGACCGCCACCCATCCCTAAATCTCCCTCCAAGGTACTTTAGCATGCACACACACACACACATTCACATTCACACACACATACACGGTCCTCTGGAAACTGTTTGCTACAAGTCTTTGGGGAAGTTTTTCAAGGCAGGCAGAGACAGACGTTCACGCGGGCCTGAACACAAAAACACACACATGATTAAGAGAGAACAACAGACAACAGATCAGGGGCGGACTGCGAAAATAATTCGGCATTTTTTTCCCACACCAGCCCACATCACTGTGCACGTCACCAACTCACCCCCCTTCTCTGCTGTCCCTCTGTCCTTCTTCTTGTTCTCTGTCTGCCTGCCTGTCTGCTTAATGTAAAATACATGATACAGTAAATGTCCTCATTACCAGGGGAGACTGTCCAGGTGGTGGAGCCAGAAGCATTCCTGTTTTAGTAGGAGGTTATCAATGTCCCCACTCCTACAGTGCATGTGAACTTTCTCTATCGCAATCAACTTGAGTGTTGTAATGTCATGATTTTAATTCTGTGAAGTGCTTGGCAACAGGACACTGTTGGACATTTCTACGAATGGATTACTTATATTCGGTGATGCGGACCTTGAGTTGTTGCATAGCTGAGCCCGCAAGGGGCACTTTAGTAAATAAACAACATGTGATGAGGCGCAGGTGGTTCTGCTGCGGATATTGGAGGGTTTTCTACGTTCTCAGGTGATGGAATATTTCTGTGCTATAGGTTTTAAGACAATTGATGCAGTTGTATCACAGAGTGTGTTACTTTATCAAATCTCTAGTAACCCATTATACTGTACCTCCTTTACACTCGTGTTCTATTCATACAGCATATTCAGGAATAATAATCTCTCCTTTCATATCTTCACATACAGAATCCCTATATAACGTTATAATTCTTAGGTATTCACATCCACACCACCAGCAACGACCACAGAGCAGCCAGCTACACATGTCATGTTCTCGAGGAAATATCAGTGGTCCCAGACCACATAGACAATTCCCAGAAATGCCTATGGACAGCCGTCGGTGGGGCTTCTCTGAACAGCCCTTACCCATCTCAGCTGTTACCCTCTCAAACTTTTCAATGGCTTCTCCTGTCAGTGCTCACTACCTGTAGATCGACCGGAGGTGGGGGACAGAAACCCTAGATAACGTTATGGATCGAAAAACTCAGCTCACACAGAACTGGTTGGGGGTATCCATTCAGACACGCATCTCTTTCACACCGAAGCTATTCCTCTGACAGCTCTCATTCTCTCAGTACTTAATAGTAATACTATCTCTTATTATCTACATTTCAAACCTCTTATTATCCAAATTTCAATCAGCGCAATATCCACATTTCAAACCTCTTATTATCCCAAATGTAAATCCTTTGTTGAACTCAGCTTACCACTTATTATCAAAATGTCAATCTCTTAAGACACTCACATGCTGGCTCTGTCTAGTCTATTACCAACTGTCAGGAGAGACACATGCTGGCTCTGTCTAGTCTATTACCAACTATCAGGAGAGACACATGCTGGCTCTGTCTAGTCTATTACCAACTGTCAGGAGAGACACATGCTGGCTCTGTCTAGTCTATTACCAACTGGCAGGAGAGACACATGCTGGCTCTGTCTAGTCTATTACCAACTGGCAGGAGAGACACATGCTGGCTCTGTCTAGTCTATTACCAACTGTCAGGAGAGACACATGCTGGCTCTGTCTAGTCTATTACCAACTATCAGGAGAGACACATGCTGGCTCTGTCTAGTCTATTACCAACTGTCAGGAGAGACACATGCTGGCTCTGTCTAGTCTATTACCAACTGTCAGGAGAGACACATGCTGGCTCTGTCTAGTCTATTACCAACTGGCAGGAGAGACACATGCTGGCTCTGTCTAGTCTATTACCAACTGTCAGGAGAGACACATGCTGGCTCTGTCTAGTCTATTACCAACTATCAGGAGAGACACATGCTGGCTCTGTCTAGTCTATTACCAACTGTCAGGAGAGACACATGCTGGCTCTGTCTAGTCTATTACCAACTGTCAGGAGAGATACATGCTGGCTCTGTCTAGTCTATTACCAACTGTCAGGAGAGACACATGCTGGCTCTGTCTAGTCTATTACCAACTGTCAGGAGAGACACATGCTGGCTCTGTCTAGTCTATTACCAACTATCAGGAGAGACACATGCTGGCTCTGTCTAGTCTATTACCAACTGTCAGGAGAGACACATGCTGGCTCTGTCTAGTCTATTACCAACTGTCAGGAGAGACACATGCTGGCTCTGTCTAGTCTATTACCAACTATCAGGAGAGACACATGCTGGCTCTGTCTAGTCTATTACCAACTGTCAGGAGAGACACATGCTGGCTCTGTCTAGTCTATTACCAACTATCAGGAGAGACACATGCTGGCTCTGTCTAGTCTATTACCAACTATCAGGAGAGACACATGCTGGCTCTGTCTAGTCTATTACCAACTGTCAGGAGAGACACATGCTGGCTCTGTCTAGTCTATTACCAACTATCAGGAGAGACACATGCTGGCTCTGTCTAGTCTATTACCAACTGTCAGGAGAGACACATGCTGGCTCTGTCTAGTCTATTACCAACTGTCAGGAGAGACACATGCTGGCTCTGTCTAGTCTATTACCAACTGTCAGGAGAGACACATGCTGGCTCTGTCTAGTCTATTACCAACTGGCAGGAGAGATACATGCTGGCTCTGTCTAGTCTAATACCAACTGTCAGGAGAGACACATGCTGGCTCTGTCTAGTCTATTACCAACTATCAGGAGAGACACATGCTGGCTCTGTCTAGTCTATTACCAACTGTCAGGAGAGACACATGCTGGCTCTGTCTAGTCTATTACCAACTGTCAGGAGAGACACATGCTGGCTCTGTCTAGTCTATTACCAACTGTCAGGAGAGACACATGCTGGCTCTGTCTAGTCTATTACCAACTGGCAGGAGAGACACATGCTGGCTCTGTCTAGTCTATTACCAACTGGCAGGAGAGATACATGCTGGCTCTGTCTAGTCTATTACCAACTATCAGGAGAGACACATGCTGGCTCTGTCTAGTCTATTACCAACTATCAGGAGAGACACATGCTGGCTCTGTCTAGTCTATTACCAACTATCAGGAGAGACACATGCTGGCTCTGTCTAGTCTATTACCAACTATCAGGAGAGACACATGCTGGCTCTGTCTAGTCTATTACCAACTGGCAGGAGAGATACATGCTGGCTCTGTCTAGTCTATTACCAACTGTCAGGAGAGACACATGCTGGCTCTGTCTAGTCTATTACCAACTATCAGGAGAGACACATGCTGGCTCTGTCTAGTCTATTACCAACTATCAGGAGAGACACATGCTGGCTCTGTCTAGTCTATTACCAACTGGCAGGAGAGATACATGCTGGCTCTGTCTAGTCTATTACCAACTATCAGGAGAGACACATGCTGGCTCTGTCTAGTCTATTACCAACTATCAGGAGAGACACATGCTGGCTCTGTCTAGTCTATTACCAACTGTCAGGAGAGACACATGCTGGCTCTGTCTAGTCTATTACCAACTATCAGGAGAGACACATGCTGGCTCTGTCTAGTCTATTACCAACTGGCAGGAGAGACACATGCTGGCCTTTATGAGCATTGATAAAACTATTTATACACATTTATATCTGTTTGTGCTGTCAAGTCAACCCATGTTTTAACCCATGTTTTTACCTGTATTTCCTCTCCATCATTACATGTAGCTGAGACCAGCGATGCCGCCGCGGCCTGAATCCAGCCCCTGTCGGGACATGAAACCAGAAAACATAATTAACCTGTTTGATGCTGCTGCTCCTGACATCAGTGTCACATCCCCAACACAGGTACGGACTGTTATCTGTTACCTCTGGAGCTCAGCTGGTAGAGCACTGCGCTGGTAGGCGCTGGTAGAGCACGGCGCTGGTAGAGCACGGCGCTGGTAGAGCACGGCGCTGGTAGAGCACGGCGCTGGTAGAGCACGCCGCTGGTAGAGCACGGCGCTGGTAGTGGGTTCGATCCCCGGAACCACCCATACGTAAAAATGTATGCGCACATGACTGTAAGTCGCTTTGGATAAAAGCATCTGCTAAATGGCATATTATTATTATTAACCTAAGCCTAACTGTACCCTAACCCTTACTCTACCCTAACCCCTACCCTAACCCCTAACCCTGACCCTACCCTAACTGTACCCTAACCCTAACTCTACCCTGACCCTTTTTTATGCATGAAAAGCACTTATTGTATATTTATTTTAATTGTACATAATTAATTGTACATAATTGGTGCATTTCCTGCAGTCGATATATTTTTTTGTCATACCTTGACGGGGGGTATTTTTTGGCGGCAGGTTGCAGTGTAGATCAACATGAATATATTCCTTCACAATCATTGTATTCTTGTTCTAGCTGGGGCTTCACTTGCCTTCAAAAGGAAAACTTATCCTAAATTAAAAATCAAGGGAATTTCACAATAAAAGTCTAACCTCAATTGTGCCTTTTCCTAAAACTAATAAAAGCCATCTTATGTGGACATCTAGGAGTCACAGCGGAAATCACCTGTGGGTTTATGAAATAAAAGAGGGTTAGAAAACACTGTCTATGAAATTATTGTATTTATTTATTTATTGGTTTGGTTTGACTCTACCCTGACCCTACCCTAACCCTTACTCTACCCTGACCCTACCCTTACTCTACCCTGACCCTACCCTAACCCTTACTCTACCCTGACCCTACCCTAACCCTTACTCTACCCTGACCCTACCCTAACCCTTACTCTACCCTGACCCTACCCTAACCCTAACTCTACCCTAAACCCTACCCTAACCCTTACTCTACCCTGACCCTACCCTAACCCTAACTCTACCCTAAACCCTACCCTAACCCTTACTCTACCCTGACCCTACCCTAACCCTTACTCTACCCTGACCCTACCCTAACCCTAACTCTACCCTAAACCCTACCCTAACCCTTACTCTACCCTGACCCTACCCTAACCCTTACTCTACCCTAAACCCTACCCTAACCCTAACTCTACCCTGACCCTACCCTAACCCTTACTCTACCCTGACCCTACCCTTACTCTACCCTGACCCTACCCTAACCCTAACTCTACCCTGACCCTACCCTAACCCTAACTCTACCCTGACCCTACCCTAACCCTAACTCTACCCTGACCCTACCCTAACCCTTACTCTACCCTGACCCTACCCTAACCCTTACTCTACCCTGACCCTACCCTAACCCTTACTCTACCCTGACCCTACCCTAACCCTAACTCTACCCTAAACCCTACCCTAACCCTTACTCTACCCTGACCCTACCCTAACCCTTACTCTACCCTGAACCCTACCCTAACCCTAACTCTACCCTAAACCCTACCCTAACCCTAACTCTACCCTAAACCCTACCCTAACCCTTACTCTACCCTAAACCCTACCCTAACCCTTACTCTACCCTGACCCTACCCTTACTCTACCCTGACCCTACCCTAACCCTAACTCTACCCTGACCCTACCCTAACCCTTACTCTACCCTGACCCTACCCTAACCCTTACTCTCTACCAACTGACCCTACCCTAACCCTTACTCTACCCTGACCCTACCCTAACCCTTACTCTACCCTGACCCTACCCTAACCCTTACTCTACCCTAAACCCTACCCTAACCCTTACTCTACCCTGACCCTACCCTAACCCTAACTCTACCCTAAACCCTACCCTAACCCTTACTCTACCCTGACCTACCCTAACCCTTACTCTACCCTAAACCTACCCTACCCTAACCCTTACTCTACCCACCCTACCAACCCTTACTCTACCCGAAACCCTAACCCTAACCCTTACTCTAACCCTAAACCCTACCCCTAACCCTACTTACTGACCACCAACCTTACTCTAACCCTGACCCTACCCTAACCCTTACCTACCACCCTACCTAACCTAACTAGACCCTACCCTACCCTAACCCTTACTCTACCCTGACCCACCCTAACCCTTACTCTACACTGACCCTACCCTAACCACTAAAACTACTAACCCACTATACCCTACACCTAACCCTTACTCTACCCTGACCCTAACCCTAACCCTTACTCTAACCCTGAACCCTACCCTAACCCTACTCTACCTAAACCCTACCCTAACCCGTACTCTACCCTAAACCCGACCCTAACCCTTACTCTACCCTGAAACCCTACCCTACCTACCCTACCCTACCTACCCTAACCCTAACTCTACCCTAAACCCTACCCTAACCCTCGTACTCACCCTAACCTACTACCACCTAACCCTACACTACCTAACCTCTACCCTAAACCCTACCCTAACCCTTACTCTACCCTAAAACCCTACCCCTAACCCTATACATACCAAAACCTAAACCCTACTAACCATACCTACCCTAAACCCTTACTCTACCCTACACCCTACCCTAACACCTAACCCTAACTACCCTAAACCCTACCCTAACCCTTACTCTACCCTGAACCCTACCCTAACCCTTACTCTACCCTGACCCTACCCTAACCCTTACTCTACCCTGACCCTACCCTAACCCTTACTCTACCCTAAACCCTACCCTAACCCTTAACTCTACCCTAACCTACCCTAACCCTTAACTCTACCCTGACCCTACCCTAACCCTACTCTACCCTGACCCTACCCTAACCCTTACTCTAACCCTAAACCCTACCCTAACCCTACTCTACCCTAAACCCTACACCCTATACCCTTACTCTACCCTAACCCTACCCTAACCCTAACTTCTACCCTGACCCCCTAAACCCTAACCCTTACTCACCTACCCTAACCCTTACTACCTAACCCTAACTCTACCCTGACCCTACCCTAACCCTTACTCTACCTGAACCTTACCTTATCTACCCACCCTACCCTAACCCTACTCTACTACCACCGACCCTAACCCTAACCCTACTCTACCCTGACCCTACCCTAACCCTTACTCTACCCTAAACCCTACCCTAACCCTAACTCTACCCTGACCCTACCCTAACCCTTACTCTACCCTGACCTACAACCTTACTCTACCCTGACCCACCCTACCCTTACTCTACCCTGAACCCTACCCTAACCCTAACTCTACCCTGACCCTACCCTAACCCGCTACTACCTAACCCATACAAACATACCCTACCCTACCCTAACCCTACTCTACCCTGACCCTACCCTAACCCTTACTCTACACCTAAACCCTACCCTAACCCTTACTCTACCCTGACCCTACCACCTTACTCTACCCTGACCCTACCCTAACCTAACTCTAACCCTGACCCTACCCTAACCTTACTCTACCCTAAACCCTACCCTAACCCTACTCTACCCTACCCTACCCTAACCCTTACCTACCTAACCCTAACCTACTACCCTAACCTCTAACCCTACCCTAAACCCTTACTCTACCCTACAACCTACCCTAACCCTAACTCTACCCTAACCTACCCTAACCTATACCTCTACCCTAAAACCCTACCACCTGACCCTACCCTTACTCTACCCTGACCTACTAAACCCTAACTCTACCCTGACCCTACCCTAACCCTACTCTACCCTGACCCTACCCTAACCCTACTCTACCCTAACCTACACCCTAACTTAACCTGACCCTACCCTAACCCTAAATACCCTGATACCTACTCTACCCTGACCCTACCCTAACCCTAACTCTACCCTGACCCTACCCTAACCTACTTACTACCTGCCCCTAAACCAACCCTACCTCTAACCTCTACCTAAACCCTACCCTAACCCTTACTCTACCCTGACCTACCCTAACCCTAACTCTACCCTGACCTACCCTAACCCTACTCTAACCCTGACCCTACAACCTTACCTAACTAACCTAACTAACTTCCTACCACCTAACCTACTCTACCTACCCTACCACCTTACTTACCCAAACCTACCCTAACCCTTACTCTAACCCTGACCTACCCTTACTACCCTGACCTACCCTAACCTTATCTACCTGACCCTACCCTAACACTACTTCCTGACCCTACCCAACCCTAACTCTACCCTACCCTCACCTACCCTTACTTACCTAAACCCTACCCTAACCCTTACTCTACCCTGACCCTACCCTAACCCTAACTCTACCCTGACCCTACCCTAACCCCTACTGCAGGGGTCAGCAACAGGTGGCCCGCGGGCCAAAACCCTGACCATCCACTCGGACATAAATCGGCCCGCGGCTAAATCTAGTTGCCTACCCCTGCTTTACTGTATCGTAACCCTAGCAAGCTGTTGCATATCAACAGTGTTGATATTTTGTTGATAGGTATTTTATTGGGGAGCATCCACCAGTGTTGGGTCAATAAGGAAGTTATCTGAATTTAAAATAAAAATATATATACTTTTTTGGGACATAAATGAATACCTTCTCCTTTTCAGATTACTGACAAGTTATTGAAAATAACAATTATTGAATTAATTGGAATTTCAGTTTTCTTCCTGAATTGACTCCCTTCCAATTCGACTTGACCCCAACTCCACATAATGTGTGACCCTTGCTAATCCCACTCCTGTTAACTGTTTGTCGTCTCCTCCCTCCCCCTGTCAGTTTGACAGCCCTGCTGGGGCCAACCTGTTGGACATGGACCTGTCCACCCTGGCTCCACCATGTCATGGTGGCACAGCCGTGTCCCCAGCCTCTCAGGTGGGTTGGCCCGGTCTGTCAGATGGCCAGGCAGACAATATGTCAAGTGGGCGCTCTGTCATATTGGTATCAGCTCCTACACAGTGGGGAGAACAAGTATTTGATACACTGCCGATTTTGCAGGTTTTCTTACTTACAGAGCATGTAGAGGTCTGTAATTTTTATCATAGGTACACTTCAACTGTGAGAGACGGAATCTGAAACAAAAATCCAGAAAATCACATTGTATGATTTTTAAGTAATTCATTTGCATTTTATTGCATGACATAAGTATTTGATACATCAGAAAAGCAGAACTTAATATTTGGTACAGAAACCTTTGTTTGCAATTACAGAGATCATTCGTTTCCTGTAGGTCTTGACCAGGTTTGCACACACTGCAGCAGGGATTTTGGCCCACTCCTCCATACAGACCTTCTCCAGATCATTCAGGTTTCGGGGCTGTCACTGGGCAACACGGACTTTCAGCTCCCTCCAAAGATTTTCTATTGGGTTCAGGTCTGGAGACTGGCTAGGCCACTCCAGGACCTTGAGATGCTTCTTACGGAGACACTCCTTAATTGCCCTGGCTGTGTGTTTCAGGTCGTTGTCATGCTGGAAGACCCAGCCACGACCCATCTTCAATGCTCTTACTGAGGGAAGGAGGTTGTTGGCCAAGATATCGTGATACATGGCCCCATCCATCCTTCCCTCAATACGGTGCAGTCGTCCTGTCCCCTTTGCAGAATGACAAAGAATGATGTTTCCACCTCCATGCTTCATGGTTGGGATGGTGTTTTTGGGGTTGTACTCATTCTTCTTCTTCCTCCAAACACGGCGAGTGGAGTTTAGACCAAAAACCTATATTTTTGTCTCATCAGACCACATGACCTTCTCCCATTCCTCCTCTGGATCATCCAGATGGTCATTGGCAAACTTCAGACGGGCCTGGACATGCGCTGGCTTGAGCAGGGGGACCTTGCGTGCGCTGCAGGATTTTAATCCATGATGGCATAGTGTGTTACTAATGGTTTTCTTTGAGACTGTGGTCCCAGCTCTCTTCAGGTCATTGACCAGGTCCTGCCGTGTAGTTCTGGGCTGATCCCTCACCTTCCTCATGATCATTGATGCCCCACGAGGTGAGATCTTGCATGGAGCCCCAGACCGAGGGTGATTGACCGCCATCTTGAACTTCTTCCATTTTCTAATAATTGCGCCAACAGTTGTTGCCTTCTCACCAAGCTGCTTGCCTATTGTCCTGTAGCCCATCCCAGCCTTGTGCAGGTCTACAATTTTATCCCTGATGTCCTTACACAGCTCTCTGGTCTTGGCCATTGTGGTGAGGTTGGAGTCTGTTTGATTGAGTGTGTGGACAGGTGTCTTTTATACAGGTAACGAGTTCAAACAGGTGCAGTTAATACAGGTAATGAGTGGAGAACAGGAGGGCTTCTTAAAGAAAAACTAACAGGTCTGTGAGAGCCATAATTCTTACTGGTTGGTAGGTGATCAAAGACTTATGTCATGCAATAAAATGCAAATTAATTACTTAAAAATCATACAATGTGATTTTCTGGATTTTTGTTTTAGATTCTCTCTCACAGTTGAAGTGTACCTATGATAAAAAATGACAGACCTCTACATGCTTTGTAAGTAGGAAAACGTGCAAAATCGGCAGTGTATCAAATACTTGTTCTCCCCACTGTACGTGTATGATACTTGCTCAGAGCCTGGCTGAGTTCAGTCTGCGTGGAGAGAGATTCATTACCACTGTGTATAGTTGACTCGTTAGCGTTTTCACCATTTCTGTTCGTTTAGACGTGGGACATTGCAAGTGCATGGGGTTGATTAGACAGACACAGTCTCAGTTTTGTGTGTTTTATCCATGTTTTGAGCATCTCTACCCCTCTCTCCCTCCCTTTCTGTTTTTACCCCCCTGAAGGCGGTATCATGGGACACGTGGGAGGTAAGCACAGTCATCATACTCCATATTGGCCATAGATTCCCTCCAACAGGAACTGTCTAGATGATACTCTCAGAATAACAAAATAGTGCTTTCAGGGTTTTCAGGTTTGCTTTCAGGGTTTTCAGGTTTGCTTTCAGGGTTTTCAGGTTTGCTTTCATGTCCTAACTAAATTATAATCTCCTCAGCTGTAAAAAAGAATAGAACCTACAACAAAAGTATGGATATAGCGCAAGATGTTACCTGGTAGCCTGAATGCCAGTCTGTTTGTGCCATCATACCATCATGCCAACTCCATAGCAATAGCCTACTTTGAATTGAAAAAACGTAATTATCTAAAACGTAATTATCTAAAACCTAATGATCTTTCCTAATTGGTCTTTTCACTTTTTTTGCCACATCCCCCACTTATTTTTCAATTAATGAATTCATTAAATTAATTGTTATTCATTTCCTGCATTGATATTATCCCTGATAATTGGCTCATTGCCATGGAAACCCTGACCCATTGCTTGGTCACTATGGCTTCCTATGGTATCCTATGGTATCCTATGGCCCATTGTACCCCATTTAACTGCCCCTACTCCCTCGCCCCTACCCCCCTACCTTCTATACCCTCGCTCCTACCCCTACCCCCTACCCCCTACCCCTCGCCCCTACCCCTCGCCCCTGCCCATTGCCATGGAAAACCTGGTCTCTATGGCTTCCAATGGGTTTCCTAATGCCAATGGTCATGCCCCATTGTGCCCATTTAATTGTCCCTCCCCACCCCCTGCCCCTCGCCCCCCCCCCCCCCCTAGCCTGAGGAAACTCCTGCTCCACCAGAGGAGCCCCAGGGCTGGGATGATGATGGTACCCTGCCGGTGCGTGCTGCCGGCTGGGATGATGACGGTACCCTGCCGGTGCGTGCTGCCGGCTGTGGGGATGACGGTATAGCTGCCGCCACGGCAGGCTGGGATGACGATGGCTCTCTGCCTGTGAGGGTGGAAGACTCCTGGGGGGATGTTGCTGACTCTACATCCATATCCCCAGCCACTGCTTCCGCTGCCGTGGCCGAGTCTGAGGCTGCTGGCTGGGATGATGAGGATGTGGTGCCCCAGGTACGATGGGAAAGAGTAGGATGCATCTGGAGCTGGGTGGATGCATCGGCTACAACACTGGCCTGGTGGTCTAGCAGGATAGGATGGAGGATACTGTAGTTGTAGCTACGTGATGGTGGAGCTCTCTGGTTCTGTCTGGTTCTGTCTGGTTCTGTCTGGTTCTTGTCTGGTTCTGTCTGGTTCTTCCCAGTAGTAGTAGACAGAGTGACAGGTATTCTTTTTGAAAAACAGGTCTTCTGACCTCCAATGGGACTTCCTGGTTAAATAAATAGAGCGCTGTGGATCTTGTTTCTCCAGCTCCCTTCAGTCTTTCAGTCTGGTAACACTGTCTGGCTGTAACAGGGGACAGTTGATAGACTGCAGTCTGGTAACACTGTCTGGCTGGAACAGGGGACAGTTGATAGACTGCAGTCTGGTAACACTGTCTGGCTGGAACAGGGGACAGTTGATAGACTGTGGTGTGTATTTGAGTGACATCATGATGTGCTGTTTGTGATAGGTGGTCCTCTCTCTCCTTCTCCAACAGGCTGACACACCCCCATCAGCTGCTGCAGCACCTACACCTACAGCCACAGCACCAGAGGAGGTAAGTGGCACCTTGATTAGTAGGTTGGCTGGTAGGTTGGCTGGTTGGCTGGTAGGTTGGCTGGTAGATTGGCTGGTAGGTTGGCTGTTAGGTTGGCTGTTAGGTTGGCTGGTAGATTGGCTGTTAGGTTGGCTGTTAGGTTGGCTGGTAGGTTGGCTGTTAGGTTGGCTGGTAGATTGGCTGGCAGGTTGGCTGTTAGGTTGGCTGGTAGGTTGGCTGGCAGGTTGGCTGTTAGGTTGATTGATAGGTTGGCTGGTAGGTTGGCTGGTAGGTTGGCTGGCTGGTAGATTGATTGAGTGATTGGTGATTGAGTGATTAGTTGATTCAATTATGAATCGATTGATTGTCCTTAGAGCCCCGCACGGGCCTTCATTGAAAAGCCCTCCCATGCCCGCAACGTTCAGGTCCTACCCAGCCTAACCAGGCCCGATTGCTGCTGCCAAATTTAAGGCCCGGCCCTGCCCGAAACCGGAAATAACTTCCTCCATTAGCTGCTCCTCTCTGTCTGTTATTCGCTCCCTGCGCCCAGCTCGCTCTGCATGCGCTCTGCTCATGGTGGCTCTGAGTCTGTGAGTATCCATAGCAACGGCTCCACTTGGGCTGCTCTGAGAGAGCAGTTAGCTGGTAGCTACTTTTCATCACTCTAAACTCGGAGAAAACTCAAGGAACAGTATTATTTTCTGTGAAATAATCTGTCCTATATTGGACGAGGTTGAAGCGCTTCTGACACCACGTTATGATCTTAGTCAGATATGACTGTACTGCGCGTCAGAGCACGAGGAAAATGGCTCAGCTTCAAAACGTTTGTGATCAGTTTTGTGATACCCGAACCCTGCCCTTACCCCGGCTCTTAACCTGATGGATAATGGCGGAGCCCGTCGGGCTCGGGTCTGGTGGGAGAACTCTAATCGTCTCAATCACACACGTTACTGACACCCGCACAGGCACAAGGTCAATGAGTGGATGTATGGGTACTACATATTTACATGATGCATTTCTTTTTCAAGATTCCTGCTGTAGCAGCAACCAATGGGGCTTCAGAGGCGGTAGAGATGCCTCCAGGATTCCTCTTCAAAGTGAGCGGGGATGATGATGATGATGCTGATGCTGATGATGATGATGATAATGATGATGATGATGATGAATAAATGCTACGTAGTCTAACATCTATCTATTATTTCCAAGCGGGGAATGATATGAAACTGAATTGTACAATTTTTTTTCTCCATCGTGTTCAGGTGACCACCATGCATGACTATGCAGCTAACGACTCCGATGAGCTGGAGATGAAGGCCGGAGACATAGTGCTGGTTGTGGCCTTCGACAACCCGGAAGAACAGGTCAGTACAAGCCCACTTCATCTCATCTTTACCCACCTCCTTGGCCCTAACCCGTCAATATGGTGAAACGCTCCACCACTACACACCTTCAGATCTGCAAGCATCGAAGTGTTAGAAACCAAGAGGGAAGAGAGTAACGATGAAGTACTGCTGATACTGTCTGCTTTGTGCTCTGCTTACAGGGAACTGACAAAATAAAGGAAACACTTGAGTAAATGAGGGATACAGAGTATATTGAACGCAGGGATTTCCACACAGGTGTGGTTCCTGAGTTAATTAAGCAGTTAACATCCCATCATGCTTAGGGCCATGTATAAAAATGCTGGGCAGGGCGATTATTTTGGCTACCATGGCTATGCCCCCATAGGATGACAATGCCTCCATCCACAGGGCACGAGTGGTCACTGAATGGTTTGATGAGCATGAAAACTACACTGAGTGGACAAAACATTAGGAACACCTGCTCTTTCCATGACAGACTGACCAGGTGAATCCAGGTGAAAGCTATGATCCCTTATTGATGTCACCTGTTACATCCACTTCAATCAGCGTAGAAGAAGGGGAGGAGACAGGTTAAAGAAGGATTTTTAAGCCTTGAGACAATTGAGCCATGGATTGTGTGTGTGTGCCATTCAGAGGGTGAATGGGCAAGACAAAATATTTAAGTGCCTTTGAACGGGGTATGGTAGTAGGAGCCAGACGCACCGGTTTGTGTTAAGAACTGCAACACTGCTGGGTTTTTTCACGCTCAACAGTTTCCTGTGTGTATCAAGAATGGTCCACCACCCAAAGGACATCCGGCCAACTTGACACAACTGTGGGACGCTTTTAACACCTTGTAGAGTCCATGCTCCGACTAATTGAGAATGTTCTGAGGGCAAAAGGGGGTGCAACTCAATATTAGGAAGGTGTTCCTAATGTTTTGTGCACTCAGTGTATGTAAACCATATGCCATGGCCATCTCAGTCACCAGATCTCAACCCAATTCAACACTTATGGAAGATTCTGGAGCGGCGACTGAGACAGCGTTTTCTACCATCATCAACAAAACACCAAATTATGGAATTTCTCGTGGAAGAATGGAGTCGCATCACTCCGATATAGTTCCAGATACTTGTAGAATCTATGCCGAGGTGCATTGAAGCTGTTCTGGTGGCTCGTGGTGGCCCAACGCCCTATTAAGACACTTTATGTTGGTGATTCCTTTATTTTGGCAGTGACCTGTATATCCGTACTGTTTTGTGTGTGTGTGTGTGTGTGTGTTGCAGGATGAGGGCTGGCTGATGGGGATGAAGGAGGAAGACTGGATCCAGAATAAAGAGAGAGCCCTCAAAGGAGTGTTCCCTGAGAACTTCACCTCCAGGCTGTGAGAGAGGAGACGCCATACTTCCTCTCCTACTATGACCTCTCTCTCTTCCACAATATTCTCTCTTCTCTTGCCTCTCTCTCTTCCCTCTCTTCCCTCTCTCTCTTCCCTCTCTCTCTCTCTTTGTCAGAATTTGTTCAAGAAGAACATTACTCTATTGTCCAATTTTACATGTGCACAAGCTCTGACAGAAATTCAACTTCTGCTTTATCCCAGCCCCTCCTCTTCTCTCTCTCTTCTCTCTCTCTCTCTCTTCCCTCCCTCTCTCTCTCTTCCCTCTCTCTCTCTTCCCTCTCCTCTCCCTCCTCTCTCTTCCCTCTCTCTCTCTTCCCTCTCTCTCTCCCCCCTCTCTCCTCCCGCCCCCTCCTCTCTCTCTTCTCTCTCTTCCCTTTCTCTCTCTCTCTCTACCCTCTCTCGCTCTCTACCTACCTCTCTCTCCGCTTCCCTCTCTCTCTCTCTTCCCCCTCTCCTCCTCTCTCTCCCCCTCTCTTCCCCCCCATCTCCCCACCCCTCTCGCTCCTCTACCCCCTCATCTCTCTCCCTCTCTCTCGCGTTTCCTCTCTCTCTCTCTCCCTCTCTCTCTCTCTTCTCTCTCTCCTCTCTCCCTCTCTCTCCCTCTCTCTCTCTATTCCCCCCTCTCTTTCCCCCCTCTCTCCCCCCCTCTCTCTCTCTCTCTGTCTTCCTGTTCCATCCTTCCTTCCCCTTTCCTCTGGGATTGTGCAGGAGTGATACTGTAGGCATTGGCATGAGAAACAGCACTGCATCGTCAGCTGTCTGTTCTGTAACCATGAGAAACGGCACTGCATCGTCAGCTGTCTGTTCTGTAACCATGAGAAACGGCACTGCATCGTCAGCTGTCTGTTCTGTAACCATGAGAAACAGCACTGCATCGTCAGCAGTGCTTCGTAAACAACAGGTTTAGACTAACAGTGAAATGCTTACTTACTTAAAAACACAAGGAAAAAATCCACAATTAGTAATGATAACTTGGCTATATACACGGGGTACCAGTACTGAGTCGATGTGCAGGGCTATGAGGTAATGGAGGTAGATATTGTATTTAGAATTAGGTAGGGGTAAAGTTACTAGGCAACAGAATAGATAATAAACAGTAACAGCAGCATATGTGATGAGTCAAAAGAGTGAAAAAAGGGTCAATGCAGATAGTCCGGGTAGCTATTGGTTAACTATTTAACTAACTGTTTAGCAGTCTTATGACTTGGGGGTAGAAGCTGTTCAGGGTCCTGTTGGTTTCAGACTTGGTGCTCCGGTACCGCTTGCCGTGCGGTAGCAGAGAGAACAGTCTGTGACTTGGGTGGCTGGAGTCTTTGACAATTTTTAGGGCCTTCCTCTGACACCGCCTGGTATAGAGGTCCTGGATGGCAGGAAGCTTGGGCCGTACGCACCACCCTCTGTAGCGCCTTGCGGTCGGATGCCAAGGAAACAACTTGCCTTCAGTACAGATAGCCCGAAAACCTTTAAACTGGTCTGCATATGTATTTTCCTTAAATGCTATATTTAAAGAGTCCCTAGACCACGCTACCATGATACCAGCCCTAAGAGCTCGTTGGGTTTCTCCCCAACCCCCTCACCCACTAAAGTGTGTTTGTGTCAAGGTTGCCAGGTTTTGTGATGATTCCGGGTTGCCAGGTGTTGTGATGATTCTGCACGAAAAGACTAACTAACCCTCGCCCTGTTCTATACTGTATGCAATAGTCACCCTGAAGCTAACGTTACTAACTTAACTCTACATTCCTGCATCCTAACTTAAGATATTAAGGAAGCAGACTATCTGTGTAAGGACACTAGACATGGTTGTGTTTTGGTTCCTGAAGGTGTAATCATATAAATCCAAGTGTATGTATACTGAGGGATATGCAGTTTATTTTGAGAAATGTGTCTTATGTTTCTCCTTGTGAAAGACGTTAAGTAACTCTGACCCTTCTGCGGTTGCCATCATTCTATAGTTTTAAAGGTGTGACTGGTGGCTTTATGGTTCAAAATATAACTTATTATTTATTTTTGTATGGTGTCAAGCAATGATCCTGGAAGATATCGAAATGGAAATTGTGGACTCAGAAATGAAAATAATATTATAGAGCAATTGTTGTATCCCCATGACATGCCCCAGTTCAGTGAGACTTCTGGCATCTGGTTTTCCATTGAAACGGACGTGATATCCCAGAGAGATTTTCATCTGACCTGCTGAAATGATGCTGTATATGTGTGAGTGTGTGTGAGTGTGTGTGTGTGTGTGTGTGTGTGTGTGTGTGTGTGTGTGAGAATATGTGTGAGTGTGTGTGTGTGTGAGTATATGTGTGAGTGTGTGTGAGAGTATATGTGTGAGTGTGTGTGTGTGTGTGTGTGTGTGTGAGTATATGTGTGTGTGTGTGTGTGTGTGTGTGAGTATATGTGTGAGTGTGTGTGAGTGTGTGTGTGTGTGTGTGAGTATATGTGTGAGTGTGTGTGTGTGTGTGTGTGAGTATATGTGTGAGTGTGTGTGTGTGTGTGTGTGAGTATATGTGTGTGTGTGTGTGTGTGTGTGTTTGTGTGTGTGTGTGTGTGTGTGTGTTTGTGTGTGTGTGTGTGTGTGTGTGTGTCGTCTTCATACAGAGTGCTTTTGTCCCTCCTCAGAAGTCCCTCCCACTTTATTAGTGGCCTGTCATCGATGTCACGTTCTCATGTGATTGGATAAGACCGTTTTACAGGAGCCATTGTGATTGGTTAGGGACTCGGGAGAGACCGCCCCCTGATCAGTCATATTTATTATTATTGTGCGTTTGTCAATGTATGTTATGTATTTACAAAGCTGTGACAATGGAGATACATATTATTATATAAACATATTCATATCTGTGTACGTGTGTAAACTTGTCAAGGAGCATGCCAAAATAATTCCATGTGTGTATTCAGTAGCAATCCTCTTTGTTGAACGCGTTAGGGTGAGAAAGACCTTGTTCCTCCTCAAGCTATTGGGGAATAATTATGTTATTTCTTGTTCCTAACTGCTAATAAACTGGAATTTAGACGCTCAATTCAGGTCTCTATTTTTCTTTGCACTGTGGTTCATGTTTGTTGTTCCAGTCCATGTGTTCCCTACTATCGTCGTCAAAGTAAAAGTTTTCTTTCAAAACAGCTTGTATTTTTATAACCTGTAGTCTTTTGCGACAGACTAGCTTTGTCAGTGTGGCAATTTGGCTCAAAGATTTGGTTCTGGGTTCCAAGATTATATAATCTTATAGACATGTTACGTCAGGACTTTAAAATCAATCCATCAGGCATTGTAGCTCACCCACTCATTGTTTTGGTATGTGAAGATAATGATTAATGACAAACTACCGACTCTTTAACTGTACTGGATCAAAGTTCACCTAGGGCAGAGAGAGGAGAGCAAGACATTTCAGCTGATCCACTGTTGTTGTAGGGGGTTTGCAGCGAAGGAGTTGAAGACCGAGAGCAAGAGAGAGAGAGAAGGAGAGAGGGAGAAAGGGAGAGAGAGAGAGAGAGAGAGAGAGAGAGAGAGAGAGAGAGAGAGAAGGAGAGAGAGAGAGACAGAGAAGGAGAGAGAGGGAGAGAGAGAGAGAGAGAGAGAGAGAGAGAGAGAGAGAAGAAAAGTGAGTGAGAGAGAGAAAGAAATCTGTATTCATGTGAAGAGTTTTGACAAGAAGACAACAGCAGTATATGATAATGGATGCATGTCAGCGTTTTGACCCAGAGCTTCCTGAAGGGACCAGAAGCATCAGCAGAACAGATATCTCAGGTGTGAATCAACATCCATCCTGCCTTATCAACCTGCTGCTGGCGCTACAGGTAAGCCCCTTTGTGAATCAGCTAAGTGGCAAAGCCACTGTTGTAGTTAAGTTGAATATATGTACGCATGACGGGAAGTTGCTTTGGATAAAGATGTGTGCTTTATGGCATAGATTTTAGTATATATTAAATGTGTACTTACTCTTGAAACAGTTCAACCATAAACCAGTACGGAGAAACATGCATTGACCACAGACCACATGCAGGTTGTTGTTTTAATCTCAGTTGTAGCCTACCTACCACTGGCTTTCTCTTGGTGCCTACCTACCACTGGCTTTCTCTTGGTGCCTATCTACCACTGGCTTTCTCTTGGTGCCTACCTACCACTGGCTTTCTCTTGGTGCCTACCTACCACTGGCTTTCTCTTGGTGCCTACCTACCACTGGCTTTCTCTTGGTGCCTACCTACCACTGGCTTTCTCTTGGTGCCTACCTACCACTGGCTTTCTCTTGGTGCCTACCTACCACTGGCTTTCTCTTGGTGCCTACCTACCACTGGCTTTTTCTTGGTGCCTACCTACCACTGGCTTTTTCTTGGTGCCTACCTACCACTGGCTTTCTCTTGGTGCATACCTACCACTGGCTTTCTCTTGGTGCCTACCTACCAAAATGCACCCCCAAAGCATAATGTTTCCACCTCCATGTTTGACGGTGGGGATGGTGTTCTTGGGGTCATAGGCAGCATTCCTCCTCCTCCAAACACGGCAAGTTGAGTTGATGCCAAAGAGCTCCATTTTGGTCTCATCTGACCACAACACTTTCACCCAGTTCTCCTCTGAATCATTCAGATGTTCATTGGCAAACTTCAGACAGGCCTGTTTATGTGCTTTCTTGAGCAGGGGGGACCTTGCGGGCGCTGCAGGATTTCAGTCCTTCACGGCATAGTGTGTTACCAATTGTTTTCTTGGTGACTATGGTCCCAGCTGCCTTGAGATCATTGACAAGATCCTCCCGTGTAGTTCTGGGCTGATTCCTCACCGTTCTCATGATCATTGCAACTCCACGAGGTGAGATCTTGCATGGAGCCCCAGGCCGAGGGAGATTGACAGTTATGTGTTTCCTCCATTTGCGAATAATCGCACCAACTGTTGTCACCTTCTCACCAAGCTGCTTGGCGATGGTCTTGTAGCCCATTCCAGCCTTGTGTAGGTCTACAATCTTGTCCCTGACATCCTTGGAGAGCTCTTTGGTCTTGGCCATGGTGGAGAGTTTGGAATCTGATTGATTGATTGCTTCTGTGGACAGGTGTCTTTTATACAGGTAACAAACTGAGATTAGGAGCACTCCCTTTAAGAGTGTGCTCCTAATCTCAGCTCGTTACCTGAATAAAAGACACGTGGGAGCCAGAAATCTTTCTGATTGAGAGGTGGTCAAATACTTATTTCCCTCATTAAAAATGCAAATCAATTTATAACATTTTTGACATGCGTTATTCTGGATTTTTTGTTGTTGTTATTCTGTCTCTCACTGTTCAAATAAACCTACCGTTAAAATTATAGACTGATCATTTCTTTGTCAGTGGGCAAACGTACAAAATCAGCAGGGGATCAAATACTTTTTTCCTTCACTGTACCACTGGCTTTCTCTTGGTGGCTATCTACCACTGGCTTGCTCTTGGTACGTACAGTGGGGAAAAAAAGTATTTAGTCAGCCACCAATTGTGCAAGTTCTCCCACTTAAAAAGATGAGAGAGGCCTGTCATTTTCATCATAGGTACATGTCAACATTGACAGACAAATTGAGATTTCTTTCTCCAGAAAATCACATTGTAGGATTTTTAATGAATTTATTTGCAAATTATGGTGGAAAATAAGTATTTGGTCACCTACAAACAAGCAAGTTTTCTGGCTCTCATAGACCTGTAACTTCTTCTTTAAGAGGCTCCTCTGTCCTCCACAACCTCAAACAGTCACACTCCAAACTCCACTATGGCCAAGACCAAAGAGCTGTCAAAGGACACCAGAAACAAAATTGTAGACCTGCACCAGGCTGGAAAGAATGAATCTGCAATAGGTAAGCAGCTTGGTTTGAAGAAATCAACTGTGGGAGCAATTATTAGGAAATGGAAGACATACAAGACCACTGATAATCTCCCTCGATCTGGGGCTCCACGCAAGATCTCACCCCGTGGGGTCAAAATGATCACAAGAACGGTGAGCAAAAATCCCAGAACCACACGGGGGGACCGAGTGAACGACCTGCAGAGAGCTGGGACCAAAGTAACAAAGCCTACCATCAGTAACACACTACGCCGCCAGGGACTCAAATCCTGCAGTGCCAGACGTGTCCCCCTGCTTAAGCCAGTACATGTCCAGGTCCGTCTGAAGTTTGCTAGAGTGCATTTGGATGATCCAGAAGAGGATTGGGAGAATGTCATATGGTCAGATGAAACCAAAATATAACTTTTTGTTAAAAACTCAACTCGTCATGTTTGGAGGACAAAGAATGCTGAGTTGCATCCAAACAACACCATACCTACTGTGAAGCATGGGGGTGGAAACATCATGCTTTGGGGCTGTTTTTCTGCAAAGGGACCAGGACAACTGATCCGTGTAAAGGAAAGAATGAATGGGGCCATGTATCGTGAGATTTTGAGTGAAAACCTCCTTCCATCAGCAAGGGCATTGAAGATGAAACGTGTCTGGGTCTTTCAGCATGACAATGATCCCAAACACACCACCCGGGCAACGAAGGAGTGGCTTCGTAAGAAGCATTTCAAGGTCCTGGAGTGGCCTAGTGTCACGCCCTGGCTCTGGGGACGCTTGTATGTTGAGCCAGGGTGTGAGTGTTCTTTGTTTATTCTAGTTCATGTCTATCTATGTTGGCCAGAGTGGTTCTCAATCAGGGGCAACGAGTGTCAGCTGTTGCTGGTTGTCTCTGATTGGGAACCATATTTAGACAGGCTGTTTTCCCACAGTGTTTGTGGGATCTTGTTCCTGTGTAGGTTTGTGTTTTGCACCTTTGGACGTCACGTATCGATTTGTTGTTTTGTTCGTGTAATCATTTAATAAATAAGTATGTTCACCTTCCACGCTGCGCCTTGGTCCTCTGTATCCGACGATCGTGACACCTAGCCAGTCTCCAGATCTCAACCCCATAGAAAATCTTTGGAGGGAGTTGAAAGTCCGTGTTGCCCAGCGACAGCCCCAAAACATCACTGCTCTAGAGGAGATCTGCATGGAGGAATGGGCCAAAATACCAGCAACAGTGTGTGAAAACCTTGTGAAGACTTACAGAAAACGTTTGACCTGTGTCATTGCCAACAAAGGGTATATAACAAAATATTGAGAAACTTTTGTTATTGACCAAATACTTATTTTCCACCATAATTTGCAAATAAATTCATAAAAAATCCTACAATGTGATTTTCTGGATTTTTTTCTTCTCAATTTGTCTGTCATAGTTGACGTGTACCTATGATGAAAATTACAGGCCTCTCTCATCTTTTTAAGTGGGAGAACTTGCACAATTGGTGGCTGACTAAATACTTTTTTTCCCCACTGTACCTACCACTGGCTTTCTCTTGGTGCCTACCTACCACTGGCTTGCTCTTGGTGCCTACCTACCACTGGCTTTCTCTTGGTGCCTACCTACCACTGGCTTACTCTTGGTGCCTACCTACCACTGGCTTTCTCTTGGTGCCTACCTACCAGTGGCTTTCTCTTGGTGCCTACCTACCACTGGCTTTCTCTTGGTGCCTACCTACCACTGGCTTACTCTTGGTGCCTACCTACCACTGGCTTTCTCTTGGTGCCTACCTACCACTGGCTTTCTCTTGGTGCCTACCTACCACTGGCTTTCTCTTGGTGCCTACCTACCACTGGCTTTCTCTTGGTGCCTACCTACCACTGGCTTTCTCTTGGTGCCTACCTACCACTGGCTTTCTCTTGGTGCCTACCTACCACTGGCTTTCTCTTGGTACCTACCTACCACTGGCTTTCTCTTGGTGCCTACCTACCACTGGCTTTCTCTTGGTGCCTACCTACCACTGGCTTTCTCTTGGTACCTACCTACCACTGGCTTTCTCTTGGTGCCAGTTTCATGCTGCAGTTTTGTGTATTGTCTTTTTTTGTTTATCTCTCTCTCTCTCTCTCTCTACAGCATGTGTTTGTGCAGTGCTCTCTGCTGGTTCTGGTCCTGGGTGTGTTGCAGCAACATCTACTGTTACAGGATGGAGAGAGAGCGAGGTTACTGTCCTCTATGTTGTTCTATTCCAGTCTCTCCAGTCTCATACAGAGCTGTCTGGGGACATGGTGAGGAGTACTCATTAATCAATTAATTCATCTCATTTTATTCATGCCCTTTTAAAAAACGTTTTACATTACCTCTCAACTCTCTCACTCACACACGTCTATGATCAAAGCAAGCATTAAACACATAGACAGACATTAATACAACCAGATACTCTCTCATCCTCAGCCTCCCTCTGATCCAGGCTCCATCTCTGGAGATCCTTATCCCTGCTGTAGTCCTCACTGCCCAGATTGGTGAGTCAGCTCCATCAATCTGACAACATACCATTTATTACCTCAGGCGAAGTTCACACTCAGGTTGTACAACTGATGTACAACTAATTTGACACAACATTGTTTTGGCTGACAAACTCATCAAGAATGTCACAACCGTTGTGTCAAAAGCGTTGTATGTCAGTTGTACAACCTGAGTGTGAAGGAGGCCTTTGTATCTCATTGTGGTTAATGGTACCAGTGATTGATCTCCTGCAGTTACTGAACCGGCCTGCAGGGGGCCCTGTGGGGAGAGTGAGGAAGAGATCCTACCCAGAGCCAACCCAGTCAGAGAGGTAGTGTACCCAGGCTGTAGTGCTGCTGTCCATGGTGCTGAACCCACAGGCCAGACCAACCCGTCTTCTCACCACTGCTCCCTTTGTTTACGGCAACATTCAGGAGCTATGTTTAGATAAAACCATGTTTCGGGACCTTTATCAAGAGACTTTAGTACAACAATAATAATACGTGGGACTTCTAGCGCTTTACAAGTCGCTTTACAATTATAAAATGAAACCCTTAAAACCAGGAGTCAAAACAAAACAACAACAGACTAAAGAAATAGAAGGGAGAGAGTGTGATGTATCATTGTATGGGGAGGGGAATGTTAGGGTTTGGATACGAACCCTGCTTTAGAGTAAAGGGCGGGATTGGGGTTAGGATACGAACCCGGTTTAGAGTAAAGGGCGGGATTGGGGTTAGGATACGAACCCTGCTTTAGAGTAAAGGGCGGGATTGGGGTTAGGATACGAACCCGGTTTAGGGTAAGAGTTTGCGTAAGATGGTGCTCAGTAATGTGAAGAGAGCAGTGTCTTACTAGTGTGTTGCTTTGTTTGTACAGTGAGGGAAAAAAGTATTTGATCCCCTGCTGATTTTGTACGTTTGCCCACTGACAAAGACATGATCAGTCTATAATTTGAATGGTAGGTTTATTTGAAGAGTGAGAGACAGAATAACAACAAAAAAATCCAGAAAAACGCTTGTCAGAAATGTTATAAATTGATTTGCATTTTAATGAGGGAAATAAGTATTTGACCCCCTCTCAATCAGAAAGATTTCTGGCTCCCAGGTGTCTTTTATACAGGTAACGAGCTGAGATTAGGAGCACACTCTTAAAGGGAGTGCTCCTAATCTCAGCTTGTTAACTGTATAAAAGACACCTGTCCACAGAAGCAATCAATCAATCAGATTCCAAACTCTCCACCATGGCCAAGACCAAAGAGCTCTCCAAGGATGTCAGGGACAAGATTGTAGACCTACACAAGGCTGGAATGGGCTACAAGACCATCGCCAAGCAGCTTGGTGAGAAGGTGACAACAGTTGGTGCGATTATTCGCAAATGGAAGAAACACAAAATAACTGTCAATCTCCCTCAGCCTGGGGCTCCATGCAAGATCTCACCTCGTGGAGTTGCAATGATCATGAGAACGGTGAGGAATCAGCCCAGAACTACACGGGAGGATCTTGTCAATGATCTCTAGGCAGCTGGGACCATAGTCACCAAGAAAACAATTGGTAACACACTACGCCGTGAAGGACTGAAATCCTGCAGCGCCTGCAAGGTCCCCCTGCTCAAGAAAGCACATATACAGGCCCGTCTGAAGTTTGCCAATGAACATCTGAATGATTCAGAGGAGAACTGGGTGAAAGTGTTGTGGTCAGATGAGACCAAAATCGAGCTCTTTGGCATCAACTCAACTCGCCGTGTTTGGAGGAGGAGGAATGCTGCCTATGACCCCAAGAACACCATCCCCACCGTCAAACATGGAGGTGGAAACATTATGCTTTGGGGGTGTTTTTCTGCTAAGGGGACAGGACAACTTCACCGCATCAAAGGGACGATGGACTTGGCCATGTACCGTCAAATCTTGGGTGAGAACCTCCTTCCCCAGCCAGGGCATTGAAAATGGGTCGTGGATGGGTATTCCAGCATGACAATGACCCAAAACACACGGCCAAGGCAACAAAGGAGTGGCTCAAGAAGAAGCACATTAAGGTCCTGGAGTGGCCTAGCCAGTCTCCAGACCTTAATCCCATAGAAAATCTGTGGAGGGAGCTGAAGGTTCGAGTTGCCAAACGTCAGCCTCGAAACCTTAATGAGTTGGAGAAGATCTGCAAAGAGGAGTGGGACAAAATCCCTCCTAAAATGTGTGCAAACCTGGTGGCCAACTACAAGAAACGTCTGACCTCTGTGATTGCCAACAAGGGTTTTGCCACCAAGTACTAAGTCATGTTTTGCAGAGGGGTCAAATACTTATTTCCCTCATTAAAATGCAAATCAATTTATAACATTTTTGATATGCGTTCTTCTTGATTTTTTTGTTCTTATTCTGTCTCTCACTGTTCAAATAAACCTACCATTAAAATTATAGACTGATCATGTCTTTGTCAGTGGGCAAACGTACAAAATCAGCAGGGGATCAAATACTTTTTTCCCTCACTGTATATGTGTGCGTGTGTGTGTGTGTGTGTGTGTGTGTGTGTGTGTGTGTGTGTGTGTGTGTGTTTGAGAGGTGGGTCTTTAGGAGGGGCTGAAAGCTGGTGATGGCTGATATAGACGTTAACATATGATGAGTTTAATTCCAAAACGCTATATATCCATTTTCAGAAATGTTTGTAAATCTCCCTCTGTTCTCTTCCAATGCTGGGCCATATCTAATATCTCCCTCTGTTCTAGTCTAATGCTGGGCCATATCTAATCTCTCCCTCTCTATTCTAATGCTGGGCCATATCTAATATCTCCCTCTGTTCTAGTCTAATGCTGGGCCATATCTAATCTCTCCCTCTCTAGTCTAATGCTGGGCCATATCTAATATCTCCCTCTGTTCTATTCTAATGCTGGGCCATATCTACTCTCTCCCTCTGTTCTAGTCTAATGCTGGGCCATATCTAATCTCTCCCTCTGTTCTAGTCTAATGCTGGGCCATATCTAATCTCTCCCTCTGTTCTAGTCTAATGCTGGGCCATATCTAATATCTCCCTCTGTTCCATTCTAATGCTGGGCCATATCTAATATCTCCCTCTGTTCCATTCTAATGCTGGGCCATATCTAATCTCTCCCTCTCTAGTCTAATGCTGGGCCATATCTAATCTCTCGCTCTGTTCTAGTCTAATGCTGGGCCATATCTAATCTCTCCCTCTCTAGTCTAATGCTGGGCCATATCTAATCTCTCCCTCTGTTCTAGTCTAATGCTGGGCCATATCTAATCTCTCCCTCTGTTCTAGTCTAATGCTGGGCCATATCTAATCTCTCCCTCTGTTCTAGTCTAATGCTGGGCCATATCTAATCTCTCCCTCTGTTCTAGTCTAATGCTGGGCCATATCTAATCTCTACCTCTGTTCTAGTCTAATGCTGGGCCATATCTAATCTCTCCCTCTGTTCTAGTCTAATGCTGGGCCATATCTAATCTCTCCCTCTGTTCTAGTCTAATGCTGGGCCATATCTAATCTCTACCTCTGTTCTAGTCTAATGCTGGGCCATATCTAATCTCTCCCTCTGTTCTAGTCTAATGTTGGGCTATATCTAATCTCTCCCTCTGTTCTAGTCTAATGCTGGGCCATATCTAATCTCTACCTCTGTTCTAGTCTAATGCTGGGCCATATCTAATCTCTCCCTCTGTTCTAGTCTAATGCTGGGCCATATCTAATCTCTCCCTCTGTTCTAGTCTAATGCTGGGCCATATCTAATCTCTACCTCTGTTCTAGTCTAATGCTGGGCCATATCTAATCTCTCCCTCTGTTCTAGTCTAATGCTGGGCCATATCTAATCTCTCCCTCTGCTCTAGTCTAATGCTGGGCCACATCTCTCCCTCTGTTCTAGTCTAATGCTGGGCCATATCTAATCTCTCTCTGTGTGTTCCTATGTAGCTCCAGGGTATGACTGTGATGGTGGGCATGGTCCAGCTGGTTCTGGGCGTGACAGGTCTGAGTGGTGTGGTTCTGAGACACTGCGGTCCGCTGGTCATAGCCCCTCTATTGTGTCTACTTGGCTTCTCCATCTACAGAGAGGCTGCTCTGCTCTGCTCAGACCACTGGGCCATCGCTGCATTGTACGTTTCTCTGTGTATCACGCCGTCCGTCCATCCGCCCGTCTGTCTGTCTGTCTGTCTGTCTGTCTGTCTGTCTGTCTGTCTGTCTGTCTGTCTGTCTGTCTGTCTGTCTGTCTGTCTGTCTGTCTGTCTGTCTGTCCGTCTCTGTCCGTTTGTCCGTCAGTCTGTCCGTCCTCTGTTTTCGCCTTACTTTGTCAAACTCTCTGTATTCACATTTGTCCAATGCATCATGCATTCAGTCATATTTTTGTGAACTTTTATGAATACCTGAACTGTATATTTGGATTGATAGACTATTAGGACTAACGCTGTAATGTTTCTCTGTGTAGGACAGTCATCCTCCTAGTGTTCCTGTCCCAGCATCTACACTCCTACATGCTCCCAGCATGCCTCAGCATGCCTCAGCTACCTGTCTGCAGGATGCTCTCTGTGAGTCTCTCCTGATTGGTTGATTGATTGATTGTACCCTTCTGACACACACTTTCAACTTTTGAGAGAATCCCTTTCTTTTATTCCCTTAGCCAGAACATCACTCTTTTATTCCCTTAGCCAGAACATCACTCTTTTATTCCCTTAGCCAGAACATCACTATTTTATTCCCTTAGCCAGAACATCACTCTTTTATTCCCTTAGCCAGAACATCACTCTTTTATTCCCTTAGCCAGAACATCACTATTTTATTCCCTTAGCCAGAACATCACTCGTTTATTCCCTTAGCCAGAACATCACTCTTTTCTTCCCTTAGCCAGAACATCACTCTTTTATTCCCTTAGCCAGAACATCACTATGTTATTCCCTTAGCCAGAACATCACTCTTTTATTCCCTTAGCCAGAACATCACTATTTTATTCCCTTAGCCAGAACATCACTCTTTTCTTCCCTTAGCCAGAACATCACTATTTTATTCCCTTAGCCAGAACATCACTCTTTTATTCCCTTAGACAGAACATCACTCTTTTATTCCCTTAGCCAGAACATCACTATTTTCTTCCCTTAGCCAGAACATCACTCTTTTCTTCCCTTAGCCAGAACATCACTATTTTATTCCCTTAGCCAGAACATCACTATTTTATTCCCTTAGACAGAACATCACTCTTTTATTCCCTTAGCCAGAACATCACTATTTTATTCCCTTAGCCAGAACATCACTATTTTCTTCCCTTAGCCAGAACATCACTCTTTTATTCCCTTAGCCAGAACATCACTCTTTTCTTCCCTTAGACAGAACATCACTCTTTTATTCCCTTAGCCAGAACATAATAATAATAATAATAATATGCCATTTAGCAGACGCTTTTATCCAAAGCGACTTACAGTCATGCGTGCATACATTTTTTTGTGTATGGGTGGTCCCGGGGTTCGAACCCACTACCTTGGCGTTACAAGCGCCTTGCTCTACCAGCTACATCACTCTTTTATTCCCTTAGCCAGAACATCACTCTTTTCTTCCCTTAGCCAGAACATCACTATTTTATTCCCTTAGCCAGAACATCACTCTTTTCTTCCCTTAGCCAGAACATCACAGCACATTACTCAAGATGTGGAACTGACCTCTATATTTCTCCAGGTGCTGCTGCCCCTGCTGAGTGTTTGGGCTCTGTGCGCAGTATTGGAGAGTTTCGGGGGGGTTCATCTGCACTCTGTCTCCGAGCTGCTGCCAGTACTGAAGACGAGCAACACTTCCCTTTCTGTACCTTCATCATCAGATCACACCTCCTTCACTGTGCCGTGGCTCAGCCCCCCTATGGCAGGTCAGCAGAGTTCATTAACACTAACAATGCCTGTGCTATAGTCTCTAGTGACAGTTTATAAAGCTAATAACCAAGAGACTGTCTAGTACATTCAGTCTCCGTCTGTGTCATCAATCAAATATATAAATATTTTGAATGTTATGTTGTGAATATAAATGTATGATCGCTCCATATATACTGTGTGTGTGTGTGTGTGTGTGTGTGTGTGTGTGTGTGTGTGTGTGTGTGTGTCTGTGTGTCTGTGTCTGTGTCTGTGTCTGTGTCTGTGTCTGTGTCTGTGTCTGTGTCTGTGTCTGTGCAGCAGAGACAGGGCTCCCCCTGCTGTCAGTTCGAGGCATGGCGGCCGGTGTCGTTGCGGCCCTCTCCTCCTCTGTCAGTTCAGTAGGGATGTACCTGCTAACGGCCCGGCTCCTCGGGGCCCCTCCACCCCCCGCTGCAGCCTGTAACAGGGGCCTGGGGGCCCAGGGGCTGGGTAGTGTGGTCGCTGGCCTGATGGGGGCGCCATTGGGGCTCAGCTGCAGTGTCCCCAACGCCTGTACTCTGGGACTCAGCCAGGTACCGATGATGGTGTAATGTCAACATCATTTAGAAGCCTTCTCTTTAGCCCTTAGGGTCAGTTTTCCAGACACAGCTCAAGACTAGTCCTTGACTAGCTGCTTAATTTGGATCCGGAAAACAAGTATCTGAGACCTGGGCCCATATTCACGAAGCGTCTCAGAATAGGAGTGCTGGTCTACGATCAGGTCCCGCCTCTTATTCAATATGGTTTAAAAGTCAAAACTGATCCTAGATCAACAGTCCTATTCTGAGACACGTTGTGAGTGCTGATTTCCCACTCTGCATACAGTGTTTATGTTTGACCCCTGCTCCTCTCTCTCCTTCTAGTCTGGGTCCAGGCAGAAAGTGTCTATGTTTTGACTCTGTCCCCTGCTCCAGTCTGGGTCCAGGTGGACAGTATGTTTTGACTCTGTCCCCTGCTCCAGTCTGGGTCCAGGTGGACAGTATGTTTTGACTCTGTTCCCTGCTCCAGTCTGGGTCCAGGTGGACAGTATGTTTTGACTCTGTTCCCTGCTCCAGTCTGGGTCCAGGTGGACAGTATGTTTTGACTCTGTTCCCTGCTCCAGTCTGGGTCCAGGTGGACAGTATGTTTTGACTCTTTCCCCTGCTCCAGTCTGGGTCCAGGTGGACAGTATGTTTTGACTCTGTTCCCTGCTCCAGTCTGGGTCCAGGTGGACAGTGCAACTGACAGCCATCTTGGGGCTGGCCCTAGGAGTGTCGCCTCGACTGACACAGCTCATCACCTCTGTTCCCTTGGCCATCTACGGTTAGTTTCATTATCCGTCCTCTGTCTGTCTTCGTCCTGCGTGTCTGTCTGCAAGTCTGCCTGTTCTTTTTCTGTTGAGTGACTCTTTCTCAATTTGTCTTTTGTCGATTCCTCACATCCTCTCTCCTCACCTTGGAAGATAAGGTCTGACGTTCCTCTCCTCTTATCCCTATTGAGGAAGAACGCGAGGAGAGAGGACATGACGATAGATTAACTGATAAAAGATGATCCATTTCTCCTTCTCTCTCTCCATTCCTGTTCAGGTGCTATTCTCAGTGTAACCTACACTATTGCCGTGGCTACAGGTGTGAGGTACTTCCAGTTCACACACATCGACTCTGGACGTAACATCTTCAACATCGGCTTGGCAGTCTTCATGTCTCTAGTGCTGCCTCACTGGTTCCGCATGCAGACCAGCTTCATTGACACTGGTAATTTCTCTAAAATATCAGCCTGATCCCAGATCTGTTTGTGCCGTATAGTCAACTCCAAGAAGACTTTAGACCAGGCTACTCTGACATCAGCCTGGATGCCAGATTGGATGCCAGGATGCCAGTCTGGATGCCAGACTGTTTCTGCTCTCTTGCCAACTCCTTGTGGAACTGTCATGCCAAAGATGACTTGCTCGGCTTGACAGTGACGTCAACCGAATGGAAAGCACAAGCAGATTCAGGACCAGACTACTCTGGCTTTACACAGCCAGTCAAAAGAGAGCAATGTGGCTAAATGCGTGTCTTGCCCATATCCTAATCGTGTGTATATACCTGTGCAGGTATGGTTAGTGTTGATGTCCTTCTCCAGTCTCTTCTGACCTCGCCTGTACTCCTGGTGGGCATCCTGGCTTTCCTATTGGACAATACAGTATCAGGTAAAGCACATTGTACTATCTATTTCCACATTATAAAAGTTGTTGATGAAATAAGCATAGTAATATAATAACTAGAACATATATTCCCATTCCAGTCAATGTGGACCGTTCTAGTCATTATTTATATGGCTATAAGTAATTATTTAAAGTGCACTAAAATATCAGATGCATGATTCATCAACTCATATAGCACCTTATCATGATTCATCAACTCATATAGCACCTGATCATGATTCATTAACTCATATAGCACCTGATCATGATTCATCAACTCATATAGCACCTGATCATGATTCATTAACTCATATAGCACCTGATCATAATTCATCAACTCATATAGCACCTGATCATGATTAATTAACTCATATAGCACCTGATCATGATTCATTAACTCATATAGCACCTGATCATGATTCATTAACTCATATAGCACCTGATCATGATTCATCAACTCATATAGCACCTGATCATGATTCATCAACTCATATAGCACCTGATCATGATTCATTAACTCATATAGCACCTGATCATAATTCATCAACTCATATAGCACCTGATCATGATTCATTAACTCATATAGCACCTGATCATGATTCATTAACTCATATAGCACCTGATCATGATTCATTAACTCATATAGCACCTGATCATGATTCATCAACTCATATAGCACCTGATCATGATTCATCAACTCATATAGCACCTGATCATGATTCATTAACTCATATAGCACCTGATCATGATTCATTAACTCATATAGCACCTGATCATGATTCATCAACTCATATAGCACCTGATCATGATTCATTAACTCATATAGCACCTGATCATGATTCATCAACTCATATAGCACCTGATCACAAATTATGGCGCCGGAGGGGATGGCTGCCGTTTTATGGACTCTTAACCAACCATGCTATTTTTTCACATTGTTTGTAACTTATTTTGTACATAATGTTGCTGCTATCGTCTCTTATGACCGAAAAGAGCTTCTGGACATCAGAACAGCTATTACTCACCTTGAACTGGACGAATAATTGTTATTTAATGAGTTGGACGAGATGGATTTGCTCCAGACCCCCGACAGGGCCCTCATCCCCGTCATTCGCAGTAGAAAGAAAAGGAGATATCGTGGAAGGAGATCGGGGTGCTTGGTAAGGAGCTGGCGACGAGTGGCTAATCTGCCTTTGCCATCGACAATCTATTGCCAATTTACAATCGCTTGATAATAAAGTGGACGAACTACAGGCATGGTTATAAGGTTATCCTACCAACGGGACATTCAAAACTGTAATATCTTATGTGTCACCGAGTCGTGGCTGAACGAAGACATGAATAACATACAGCTGGCGGGTTATACACTGTATCGGCAGAATAGAACAGCAGCCTCTGGTAAGACAAGGGGTGGCGGTCTATGTATATTTGTAAACAACAGCTGGTGCACGATATCTAAGGAAGTCTCGAGGTTTTGCTCGCCTGAAGTAGAGTATCTCATGATAAGCTGTAGACTGAACTATTTACCAAGAGAGTTTTCATCTATATTTTTCGTAGCTGTCTATTTACCACCACAAACCGATGCTGGCACTAAGACCACACTCAATGAACTGTATATGGCCTTAAGGAAACAGGAAAACGCTCATCCAGAGGCGGCGCTCCTAGTGGCCGGGGACTTTAATGCAGGGAAACTTAAATACGTTTTACCTAATTTCTATCAGCATGTTAAATGTGCAACCAGAGGGGAAAAAAAAACTCTAGACCACCTTTACTCCACACACAGAGACGCATACAAAGCTCTCCCTCGCCCTCCATTTGGAAAATCTGACCATAAATCTATCCTCCTGATTCCTGCTTACAAGCAAAAACTAAAGCAGGAAGCACCAGTGACTCAGTCAATAAAAAAGTGGTCAGATGACGCAGATGCTAAGCTACAGGACTGTTTTGCTAGCACAGACTGGAACATGTTCCGGGATTCTTCCGATGGCATTGAGGAGTACACCACATCAGTCACTGGCTTCATCAATAAGTGCATTGATGACGTCGTCCCCACAGTGACTGTACGAGGCAAGTAACACTGAAACATGCATGAGGGCACCAGCTGTTCCGGATGACTATGTGATCACACTCTCCGTAGCCAATATGAGTAAGACCTTTAAACAGGTCAACATTCACAAGGCCGTAGGGCCAGATGGATTACCAGGACGTGTACTCAGATCATGCGCTGACCAACTGGCAAGTGTCTTCACTGACATTTTCAACCTCTCCCTGTCTGAGTCTGTAATACCAACATGTTTCAAGCAGACCACCATAGTCCCTGTGCCCAAGAACACGAAGGTAACCTGCCTAAATGACTACCGACCCGTAGCACTCACGTCTGTAGCCATGAAGTGCTTTGAAAGGCTGGTCATGGCTCACATCAACACCATTATCCCAGAAACCCTAGACCCACTCCAATTTGCATATAGCCCCAACAGATCCACAGATGATGCAATCTCTATTGCGCTCCACACTGCCCTTTCACACCTGGACAAAAGGAACACCTATGTGAGAATGCTATTAATTGACTACAGCTCAGCGTTCAACACCATAGTGCCCTCAAAGCTCATCACTAAGCTAAGGACCCTGGGACTAAACACCTCCCTCTGCAACTGGATCCTGGACTTCCTGACGGGCCGCCCCCAGGTGGTAAGGGTAGGTAACAACACATCTGCCACGCTGATCCTCAACACGGGGGCCCCTCAGGGGTGTGTGCTTAGTCCCCTCCTGTACTCCCTGTTCACTCATAACTGCTCACCGACAACGACGAGACAGCCTATACGGAGGAGGTCAGAGACCTGGCCGTGTGGTGCCAGGACAACAACCTCTCCCTCAACGTGATCAAGACAAAGGAGATGATTGTGGACTACAGGAAAAAGAAGAGGACCGAGCACGCCCCAATTCTCATCGACGGGGCTGTAGTGGAGCAGGTTGAGAGCTTCAAGTTCCTTGGTGTCCACTTCACCAACAAACTATCATGGTCCAAACACACCAAGACAGTCGTGAAGAGGGCACGACATAACCTATTCCCCCTAAGGAGACTGAAAAGATTTGGCATGGGTCCTCAGATCCTCAAAAGGTTATACAGCTGCACCATCGAGAGCATCCTAACTGGTTGCATCACTGCCTGGTATGGCAACTGCTCGGCCTCCGACCGCAAGGCACTACAGAGGGTAGTGCGTAAGGCTCAGTACATCACTGGGGCCAAGCTCCCTGCCATCCAGGACCTCTATACCAGGCGGTGTCAGAGGAAGGCCCTAAAAATTGTCAAAGACTCCAGCCACCCTAGTCATAGACTGTTCTCTCTGCTACCGCACGGCAAGCGGTACCGGAACGCCAAGTCTAGTTCCAAGAGGCTTCTAAACAGCTTCTACCCCCAAGCCATAAGACTCCTGAACATCTAATCAAATGGCTACCCAGATTATTTGCATTGCCCCCCCCACCCCTCTTTTACGCTGCTGCTACTCTCTGTTTATTATCTATGCATAGTCACTTTAACTCTACCTACATGTACATATTACCCCAATTACCTCGACTAACCGGTGCCCCCGCACATTGACTCTGTACCGGTACCTCCTGTATATAGCCTCGCTATTGTTATTTTACTGCTGCTCTTTAATTATTTGTTACTTTTATTTTGTATTATTTTAAATTGTATTGTCATTATATATATATATTGTATTCTTTCTTAAAACTGCATTGTTGGTTAAAGGCTTGCAAGTAAGCATTTCACTGTAAGGTCTACACCTGTTGTATTCGGCGCATGTGACAATACAATTTGATTTGATTTGATTTTGATCATGATTCATTAACTCATATAGCACCTGATCATGATTCATTAACTCATATAGCACCTTATCATGATTCATTAACTCATATAGCACCTGATCATGATTCATTAACTCATATAGCACCTTATCATGATTCATTAACTCATATAGCACCTTATCGTGATTCATTAACTCATATAGCACCTTATCATGATTCATTAACTCATATAGCACCTGATCATGATTCATTAATGATATTTTCGGGAACAAACACTAGGCCTCAGTGTAATAACATCTATGTCTATGTTCTTCTCTCAGGGTCTCCATCAGAGAGGGGACTTGACTCAGCTGAGATGCAGAAGAGAGGATGCGCATCAGTCAACAGCGACCCAGGGCATCACCAGGAAGTATCACCAGGAAGTATCACCAGGAAGTATCACCAGGAAGTGGCGTTAGTTTATGAGTCCCCTTACCTCCTGAGAAGACTGTGGCGCTTACCTGGATTCAGGGCGGCCCCCTTCTCTGCCTGTAGGATCGCAGATGATGGAGACATACTTTAGGGTCATATTGGAGTATAGTAGGTCACATGTTACAGTTTAAAGTTGTGTGGGATTGATACAATTGTGGCTGGGGCATGATAATACATACTGTATGTAAAGGACGGTGGACAATAGGCATAATATGGTATTAGCCAATGATGTATACAAACGTATAATAATGTATATGACATACTGTATATGAAATGTAATGTATGTCTACATAGTTAGTGACCTGAACAGAGTTTGCTTGTATGATAGTGGGTTTGTATTGATGGAGCATTGGCATAGCTGTAGGAAAATGTATGATAGTGGGTTTGTATTGGTGGAACATTGGCATAGCTGTAGGAAGATGTTTTGAGTTGGGGGTGTCCTTTATAATAAATAATTGCATGAATCTATAATCGCATTTGCGTAGTGGCAACCAGCTGCGCAGACATGTTTTTAGCATTTCCACACATGGGGAACACGTTTTTGCAGGGTATTAATACTTTTTTAAAAGATTTTTAATAAACGCTATTTCATGCAATTCTACGTCATTTACACAATAGAAGATATTGTAATATATTTTTAAACCACACACATGACTGACATGAGTGGCTACTCTGACTGACAACTGAGACAAAAACAATCTGGACTTGAACGCAAACAATAGTCCAGGCCACTGAAGAGACACAGATTGTACTAATATATATATATATATATATATATATATATATATATATATATATATTAATACCCTGCAAAAACGTGTTCCCCATGTGTGGAAATCCTAAATCCATGTCTGCTCAACTGGTATAATCTTTCAATTGATCAAAGTGTTCCGCAGCTTCTCCAGCACCCTTGCTATGAACATTATTTTCGGACAAATAAATCATTCCGGACACAGTGAAGGGGATTTGGCAGATGGCAGTTTGTAGTGACAGGCTCATGTCATTTGTGTACTGAATTAGGATTTCTCAAAGGGCTCGAATATTCAATTTGGATAACAAAAAGCTAGAGTCCACGCTCATCAGGAAAATACGAATTAGTAAATTATTGAATTATCTCCTGAGTGGCGCAGTGGTCTAAGGCACTGCATCGCAGTGCTAGCTGTGCCACTAGAGGTCCTGGTTCTAGTCCAGGCTCTGTCGTAGCCAGCCGCGACCGGGAGTCCCATGGGGCGGCGCACAATTGGCCCAGCGTCGTCCAGGGTAGGGGAGGGAATGGCAGGCAGGGATGTAGCTCAGTTGGTAGAGCATGGCGTTTGCAACGCCAGGGTTGTGGGTTTGATTCCCACGGGGGGCCAGTATGAAAAATAAAAAAAATGATGTATGCACTCACTAACTGTAAGTCGCTCTGGATAAGAGCGTCTGCTAAATGACTAAAATGTCAAAAAAAGTAAAGAATTGTGAAAATGCATTTCAGTAATTTAAAAAATAGATATTTAAATAGTTTCTCATTACATATTTCAGCACAAAGAAAACAATGCCTTTCATGTAGATAATATTAATCCACAATTTAACTGTGAAACAAAAAAGTTAGGCCAAACGAACACATGAAGACATGACTACAGATAAACCTGGACAGATTGCTAGACATAGACAGAACAATACAGACTTACTGACAGACATGAGCTTTCAAACACCTGTACAGACCAATATGTACTGTGCTAGTCAGGTAAACATCTATTCCTCATGAAAATCATGAACCCTTTTAGTGAAGTTTTGATTAGAACACAGAACTCCTGGAATGCTCCTGGAATGCTCCTGAAATGCTCCTGGAATGCTCCTGGAATGCTCCTGGAATGCTCCTGGAATGCTCCTGGAATGCTCCTGAAGACCTCCCCCCTCTCCCCGTGCTCTTACCTGAGTGTGACTGCTTTCATAATAAGGCACTGTCTATTCCTGTTTGCCTCATGTTTGTCTGCAGTGTGTGTATGCAGTGTGTGTATGCAGTGTGTGTATGTGTGTGTATGCAGTGTGTGTATGCAGTGTGTGTATGTGTGTGTATGCAGTGTGTGTATGTGTGTGTGTATGCAGTGTGTGTATGTGTGTGTTCATATTCCAGTGTTGCGTGTCTAGGTCCTGAGAAAAGGAAGGCATATGGTCAGAATGGCCTCAACTATTGAAGCTAATGTTTCTCCCTGGACTGTAATGCACAAGTCTCTCTGAAAGGCGTCAGGATGCTGCTACAGTAATCTGTTATGTGGTTCCAGAGATTTCTATTACAATTTTTTATACACAGACTTGTACTCTCTGATCTCTACCCTGTCTCTGTTCTCTACCCTGTCTCTCTGTTCTCTACCGTGTCTCTCTGTTCTCTACCCTGTCTCTCTGTTCTCTACCCTGTCTCTCTGTTCTCTACCCTGTCTCTCTGTTTTCTACCCTGTCTCTCTGTTCTCTACCCTGTCTCTCTGATCTCTACCCTGTCTCTCTGTTCTCTACCCTGTCTCTCTGTTCTCTACCCTGTCTCTCTGTTTTCTACCCTGTCTCTCTGTTCTCTACCCTGTCTCTCTGTTCTCTACCCTGTCTCTCTGTTCTCTACCCTGTCTCTCTGTTCTCTACCCTGTCTCTCTGTTCTCTACCCTGTCTCTCTGTTCTCTACCCTGTCTCTCTGTTCTCTACCCTGTCTCTCTGTTCTCTACCCTGTCTCTCTGTTCTCTACCCTGTCTCTCTGTTCTCTACCCTGTCTCTCTGTTCTCTACCCTGTCTCTCTGTTCTCACTCTCCTGTCATCTCTGTTCCTCCCTGTCTCTCTGTTCTCTCTACCCTGTCTCTCTGTCTCTCTACCCTGTCTCTCTGTTCCTACTACCCTGTCTCTCTGTTTCTACTACCCTGTCTCTCTGTTCTCTACCCTGTCTCTCTGTTCTCTACCCTGTCTCTCTGTTCTCTACCTGTCTCTCTGTTCTCACCTGTCTCTCTGTTTCCACCCTGTCTCTCTGTTTTCTCTACCTGTCTCTCTTCTTACTCCCTGTTCTCTCCTGTTCTCTCTCTTCTTCTCTACCCTGTCTCTCTGTTCTCTACCCTGTCTCTCTGTTCTCTACCCTGTCTCTCTGTTCTCTACCATGTCTCTCTGTTCTCTACCCTGACTCTCTGTTCTCTACCCAGTCTCTCTGTTCTCTCTCTTCTCTACCCTGTCTCTCTGTTCTCTCTCTCTATCTCTCCACATCATGCGTGACCATCCCCCAGGGGTGGAAGTGTCCAGGGTCCAGTAGGAACGTTCCTATCCAATGCAGGACCCGTGAGTACCAGTGTAGTCCATCTCCCTTCATAGTCCCAAGCCCAGTCCAGCTGTAGAGCTGGCGGAGGGGACCAAAGGCCCAGTGGGCTAGGTGGTGCTGGTCCACAGCAGCGTAGCACGAGGCTAAGACACCGTCCACCACCAGTGAGCCGTGGCCTGTCAGGGGGGCGAAGGCCCCGGTGTCCACCTGGATATGGACCCAGGCGACTGGGGAGAGGTGGGCCTGTGGTCCCTTGTCTCCCCCTGCTCCACCTGCAGTCAGCACACACTGCCCTGGCCGTACGTCGCTGGCGTACATAGTCCGCATGACAGCCCCGTTGAACGATTCCCCCACTGAACAGTTCCTCTCGGTCACAAACACAAGATGAGCCGCGGTGAGGGTCAGGTTTGCTCCCGTCTCTGTTCCCAACACGTAGAACTGTTTCCTCGCTGCAGGCTCGTGGTCCAGAAAGGTGAGGAACTCACTGTAGACAAGCTCTCCTGCGCTCCCCCTGCCGTCAGCCCCTGGGGAGGCCAGGACCCGGTCACCTGGCCGGAGGTACTGCACCGCCCTTCTGCTCCCGTCCTCCAGGGTGACCAGAGAACGACCCGGGAAACAACCCCCGGTCTTAGCTGCTACGGAGTGCTCTGAGAGAGGGAAAGGAGTGAGGGGGGGGGGGGAGAGGGAAGAGATAGGGTCTTATTGAGGGCTCTGTTAAGAACTGTAGACTTTGGAACACAATAGCTGATATGAAGGTGGATTACGTAAAGAGGTTCTCTCAGTAGGTCAGTGGTCTGGGCTATGATACCTAGTTCAAATCCCACGTTTCAAAGGCCCAACACATACATTCCATGATAGTTTTGTGTTCAGCGTTTAAGGAAACACCAAGACCTTTCGATTGAGGTCAACATTACAGCTTTTGAAGACTTGAAGGTTCTCTGTCGATACACACGCGCGCACGCACTGTTGCACACAAGCAAGTAAACAATTCACCCACCCCACCCCACCCACACACCACACAACACCCACACCCCAACCCACACCCACAACAACACCACCCACCACACCCCACACCCACCCACCCACACACACCACGCCCAACCCACCACCCACCACACCACCACACCACACCCACACACCCCACCACACAACACGCACACACCACACCCACCCCAAACCCAAACCCACCACACCCACCACCACCCACCCACCCAAAAACCCACCCAACACCCACACCACTCACACCACACCCACCCACCCACTCACACCACACCCCACACCCACACCCACACCCACCCACCACACCACACCCCACCCCACCCACCACCCCACCCACCCCACCCACTCACCACCCACACCCACCCACCCACCCACTCACACCCACACCCACCCACCCACTCACACCCACACACACCCACCCACTCACACCCACACACACACTCTTCATTTAAACACATACTCCTCACAAACAACCTTCCACTGAAACATTGGCAGCCAGAGACGGGCTGTGTGTTTGTGTGATGGTAAACATTTAAAAAGCCATTCCTCACACTTACCTATCTCTCCTTTTCAACTCAACTTTGCTCAACATTCAGGGGAAATGCATTAGCAGCTAACGAGTGACCCAATGACTAAACTCCACTTCCACTGGAATGAATTAGAAGTCCCAGTGTGAGACAGGTAAAGGCGTCATTCCAAATGGCACCCTATTCCCTACACAGAGCAGGGTCTAAAGTAGTGCACTATGTAGGGATGAAGGGATAGGATACTATTTGGGCCTAAGGCACTGGAATGGCAGTCTCAACTCTCCAGTGGGACCAAATACAAATATTTGTGAAGGGTAAGTACCAAAGCCAAGTGATAAGACTGATGAGATTAGAGATTTGAGAAAGATGAGCAGGGAGACCTAGGGAGACCAGGGAGACCAGGGAGACCTAGGGAGACCAGGGAGAACAGGGAGACCAGGGAGACCAGGGAGACCAGGGAGAACAGGGAGACCTAGGGAGACCAGGGAGACCAGGGAGACCTAGGGAGACCAGGGAGACCTAGGGAGACCAGGGAGAACAGGGAGACCAGGGAGACCAGGGAAACCTAGGGAGACCAGGGAGAACAGGGGGACCAGGGAGACCAGGGAGACCTAGGGAGACCAGGGAGACCAGGGAGACCAGGGGGACCAGGGAGACCAGGGAGAACAGGGGGACCAGGGAGAACAGGGGGACCAGGGAGAACAGGGAGAACAGGGGGACCAGGGAGACCAGGGAGAACAGGGAGACCAGGGGAGACCAGGGGAGACCAGGGGGACCAGGGAGACCAGGGGGACCAGGGAGACCAGGGAGAACAGGGGGACCAGGGGAGACCAGGGAGACCAGGGGGACCAGGGGAGACCAGGGGGACCAGGGAGACCAGGGAGAACAGGGGGACCAGGGAGAACAGGGGGACCAGGGAGACCAGGGAGAACAGGGAGACCAGGGGGACCAGGGGGAACAGGGAGACCAGGGGGACCAGGGAGACCAGGGGGACCAGGGAGACCAGGGAGACCAGGGGAGACCAGGGAGAACAGGGGGACCAGGGAGAACAGGGAGAACAGGGAGAACAGGGGGACCAGGGGAGAACAGGGAGAACAGGGAGAACAGGGAGACCAGGGAGAACAGGGAGACCAGGGAGAACAGGGGGACAAGGGGGACTGAGAGAAAACACGACAGGGAAACAAAAGGAGTAAGTTAATCAGTTAACTGTCACTGACTCTTAGGGTGGGGCCTCTCCCTCCACTAACATATCCCTAAACTGCTACAGACAACTACTCCAGTTCAAACTTAAGAGCTTTTGTGAAAACAAGACAATCCACACAGACAACACAATACTTAGAGAGTAGTGTACACGTCTCAATCATCATCTCAGAGAAAATCCTGATTTGGGTGTATCATCTGTGATCCTCTACAGATCATCTACAGACTACGCTGACAGCTGTTCTAAAGTTGAGCGCCGCGTGTGACAAGACGCCTCCTTCCCTCCCGCTATCTGGGAAACTTTGGAGCAATTTTTTTGTTGTCTGAGTGAGGGGAGTCTAAAGATGAGACTTTGTTCTGAAAGATGAGACGTTGAGGATAATAAATGCTGCTTTGATGTAGTCCAAGCAAACCACACAACCGTCCAAATGTGAACTTGACATTTCCATATGATAAAGCTCATGTCATTTACAGTATCAATGTTTATGATCACTAGGTTTGATCCGCAGTTACAAGGATGACGTGTTATACAACGGGTGGGTCTAATTCTGAATGCTGATTGGTTAAAACCGCATTCCAGCCGGTGTCTATTCCACAAGTTGCCACCGGCTAAATCTATGACGTTAAAATGCCTATTTACTCTGTTCCATCTGACTGCGCAATCCACTGTCTCATCAGCCCAGCCAGGCAATTTATAAACTTGATCTCCACTATAGAAAGCAACTAGACATTATCTCACATTTCTTTTAGACTAACATTTGGTTTTCAACAGCGGAGATTTGTATAAACTTTGCTGTCTGTCTCTCCGACATTTGCAACATTGTTTCATTATTCTAATTCGATCTCCAGCTGTCCCATAGTAATGAACGTGTCGGGAGTCAGGACGAGACAGACAGGAAGGCAGCGTTTCTCAGCCAGTCGAAATCATGAATCAGCTGGCATCATTTTTATGGATATACAGTGAGGGAAAAAAGTATTTGATCCCCTGCTGATTTTGTACGTTTGCCCACTGACAAAGACATGATCAGTCTATAATTTTAATGGTAGGTTTATTTGAACAGTGAGAGACAGAATAACAACAAAAAAATCCAGAAAAACGCATGTCAAAAATGTTATAAATTGATTTGCATTTTAATGAGGGAAATAAGTATTTGACCCCTCTGCAAAACATGACTTAGTACTTGGTGGCAAAACCCTTGTTGGCAATCACAGAAGTCAGATGTTTCTTGTAGTTGGCCACCAGGTTTGCACACATCTCAGGAGGGATTTTGTCCCACTCCTCTTCGCAGATCTTCTCCAAGTCATTAAGGTTTTGAGGCTGACGTTTGGCAACTCGAACCTTCAGCTCCCTCCACAGATTTTCTATGGGATTAAGGTCTGGAGACTGGCTAGGCCACTCCAGGACCTTAATGTGCTTCTTCTTGAGCCACTCCTTTGTTGCCTTGGCCATGTGTTTTGGGTCATTGTCATGCTGGAATACCCATCCACGACCCATTTTCAATGCCCTGGCTGAGGGAAGGAGATTCTCACCCAATATTTGACAGTACATGGCCCCGTCCATCGTCCCTTTGATGCGGTGAAGTTGTCCTGTCCCCTTAGCAGAAAAATGCGGTGAAGTTGTCCTGTCCCCTTAGCAGAAAAACACCCCCAAAGCATAATGTTTCCACCTCCATGTTTGACGGTGGGGATGGTGTTCTTGGGGTCATAGGCAGCATTCCTCTTTCTCCAAATACGTTGAGTTGATGCCAAAGAGCTCCATTTTGGTCTCATCTGACCACAACATTTTCACCCAGTTCTCCTCTGAATCATTCAGATGTTCATTGGCAAACTTCAGACGGGCCTGTATATGTGCTTTCTTGAGCAGGGGGACCTTGCAGGCGCTGCAGGATTTCAGTCCTTCACGGCGTAGTGTGTTACCAATTGTTTTCTTGGTGACTACGGTCCCAGCTGCCTTGAGATCATTGACAAGATCCTCCCGTGTAGTTCTGGGCTGATTCCTCACCATTCTCATGATCATTGCAACTCCACGAGGTGAGATCTTGCATGGAGCCCCAGGCCGAGAGAGATTGACAGTTATTTTGGGTTTCTCCATTTGCAAATAATCGCACCAACTGTTGTCCCCTTCTCACCAAGCTGCTTGGCGATGGTCTTGTAGCCCATTCCAGCCTTGTGTAGGTCTACAATCTTGTCCCTGACATCCCTGGAGAGCTCTTTGGTCTTGGCCATGGTGGAGAGTTTGGAATCTGATTGATTGATTGCTTCTGTGGGCAGGTGTCTTTTATACAGGTAACAAGCTGAGATTGGGAGCACTCCCTTTAAGAGTGTGCTCCTAATCTCAGCTCGTTACCTGTATAAAAGACACGTGGGAGCCAGAAATCTTTCTGATTGAGAGGTGGTCAAATACTTATTTCCCTCATTAAAATGCAAATCAATTTATAACATTTTTGACATGTGTTTTTCTGGATTTTTTTGTTGTTATTCTGTCTATCACTGTTCAAATAAGCCTACCATTGCAATTATAGACTGATCATTTCTTTGCCAGTGGGCAAACGTACAAAATCAGCAGGGGATCAAATACTTTTTTCCCTCACTGTATACAAAAAAACGTTAATTGAAAAAAGGTCAAACGAAACGCAGCTAATTTGCAGTCTTTCCAGCTTCAGGTTGAAGTGATTGTGTTACTGTAGCTGTGTTGTTGGCTAGCCTCTCTGAACAACAGTGTCCTGACGAGTGAGCTCATTTTCTATGACAGGCGAAATCGCGCCTCATTAGCTCATTGTTATGGATGTCCAAATAAATGTCACTAGAAAACAGCTTAAACAAATGCAAATGCGGGCTACTTTGCTGTTATTCTGGCTGCACTTTTTGATGTGACTGTAAATTAGCCATAGTTGGCTAGCTAGCAAGCAAGGGATAAGATCATTGCCAGCCAGTATGGCAATGGAACATTGGGTCGACTGGGTCGCGTCCATAGATACAGAACAAAAAGACTGAACGACTGGGCCGTGTCTCTAGCAACCCTAGATTTGTGTCGGGACTATATCTTGTGTAAGGATGAAATAGTATTAATTAATTAATCAAAATAAACGTTTTTTAATGAAAATATGTCAATCATTATTTGAATATGTTGGTAACCCGTTGTATAAAAGTGATAATGCCCTCGAAGCCGGTGTTTGGAGGATATATTGGCACGGTTTGGACTTGGATATATTGGTACACCCGTACCAACATTTTTTTTTTTTTTTTTTTTTTGGGTCACTTAGCAGACGCTCTTATCCAGAGCGACTTACAGGAGCAATTAGGGTTAAGTGCCTTGCTCAAGGGCACATCGACAGATTTTTCACCTAGTCGGCTCGGGGATTAGAACCAGCGACCTTTCGGTTACTGGCACAACGCTCTTACCCACTAAGCTACCTGCCGCCCATATCCGCCCATATCCAACAAACACCGGTTCTCGGGCATTATCACTTAATTATATGTTATGTCACATTTACATCTACGTCATTTAGCAGACGCTCTTATCCAGAGCGACTTACAAATTGGTGCATTCACCCTATGATAGCCAGTGGGACAACCACTTTACAATATGTTTTTTTTTTTTTTTAATTATTATTATTTATTTTATTTTTTATTTATTTTTTTGGGGGGGGGGGGGGTAAGGGGGGGATTACTTTTATACTATCCCAGGTATTTCTTAAAGAGGTAGGGTTTCAAGTGTCTCCGGGAAGGTGGTGAGTGACTCCGCTGTCCTGGCGTCGTGAGGGAGCTTGTTCCACCATTGGGGTGCCAGAGCAGCGAACAGCTTTGACTGGGCTGAGCGGGAACTGTGCTTCGGTGTTATACCCTGGGTTGTCCTGAACAGAATGAGCCTATGTTTGATCCACAGTTACAAGATGACATGTGTTATACCCTGGGTTGTCCTGAGCAGAATGTTTGTCGTATTTTTTAAGAAAACTAGTCTCGGAACACACACTTAAATGCACTCATGACTCCATTCTATGTGCATCAAAATTACGAACTGTTTGTCTGAAGCGCCTTTTGAAAGCCTAACACGGTAAGATTTGTACCGTGTCCAATTTGTAAATCGCTCTGGATGAGAGCGTCTGCTAAATGACTTCAATGTAAATGTAAATGTAAGATCGTATTTGATCAAAACTTAGCTGGCCGTGTTGGAAATAGTAGAATAAGCTTTCAAATGATGCCCCCCTGCCCCAGATCGCGATTTATAATGGAATGTTTTTGGATTGCGTAAACAACAGTAATTGTGGGATGGTGGGGACGCAGGGCTGTGTTCCAAACAAAAAATACAAGTTATGTTACTGAATATATCCAGAGTATTTTCAGATTTCGTTATCAACAAATGCTGTGAAAAGTACAGTAAATGTAAAATGCATATCAAATCAACAGTGTAATGTTTGGATTCAGTCTTGTGTCAGGTGAACTGTTGTGTCCTCACCTTTGGTCTGATAATTTCCCAGTAATCTCCAAACTGTTCTCTTTTAATTGCTACCATGGTCATGCATTTGCTTTTTATAGTTATTCTGTTAGAAACATTTACATTGGGTCCTATCCATACAGGCCAATTTCCACCAGTGTAAGGAGTTAAAAGGTTCTTCTGCTGTGCCCACTAAATTTTTTCTAGGCACAGAATCAGAACCGGGAACGAAAGTGATCTATACTGTTCCGGAACAGAACCATTATTTTAAAAGCATGGGAACCGGTTAATAACATTCTGGGAATTTATTTCCAGTCCCCCCCCCAAAAAAAAAAACGCAAGCTGGAAATCTGTGCCAGTGTGTGTTTGTAGGCCCCTCCCCCTCGCCTTCTAAAGCTACCTACTGACGTTACAAGCGTGATTCAGAAAATTAGAGAAGAATGGATTCACTTTTTCATTATTAGTTAAGGATACTACAGCTATCATGTTAAACATTGGATTTATTAACTACAAAAAGGTAAGACATGTTTTTATTTTAATTCTGGTGCCGCTCTGCACACACAAGCTTGTTAGCTCTGGTCCAACATTAAACCAGGAAGTTCAAAGATATTCAAAGTTCCTTCATAGAAGACGCTCCTCTGTAGGCATACAGTGCCTTTAGAAAGTATTCATACCCCTTGACTTATTCCACATTTTGTTGTGTTACAGCCGGAATTAAAAATGGATTAAATAGATTGTTTTTCTCTCACCCATCTACACACAATATCCCATACTGACAAAGTGAAAGAAAACATGTTTAGAAATGTTAGCAAATGTATTGAAAATGAAATACAGAAATATCTCATTTACATAAGTATTTACAACCCTGAGTCAATACTTTGTATCAGCACCTTTGGCAGCAATTACAGCTGTGAGTCTTTCTGGGTAAGTCTCTAAGAGCTTTCCACATCTGAGTTGTGCAATATTTGCCCATTAGTCTTTTCAAAATTCTTCAAGCTCTGTCCAATTGGCTGTCTATCATTGCTAGACAACTACTTTCAGGCCATAGATTTTCATGTTGATTTAAGTCAAAATTGTAACTCTGCCAACTCCAGTGTAGATTTGGCCTTGTGTTTTAGGTTATTGTCCTGCTGAAAGGTGAATTCATCTACCAGTGTCTGGTGGAAAGCAGACTGAACCAGGTTTTCCTCTAGGATTTTGCCTGTGCTTAGCTCCATTCCGTTTCTTTTTTTATCCTGAAAAACTCCCCTAGTCCTTAACGATTACAAGCAATACCCGTAACATGATGCAGCCACCACTATGTTTGAAAATATTGAGAGTGGTACTCAGTAATGTGTTGTATTGGATTTGCCTCAAACATAACACTTTGTATTCAGGACAAAAAGTGAATTGCTTTGCCAAATGTTTTGCAATATTACTTTGCCTTGTTGCAAACAGGAAGCATGTTTTGGAATCTTTTTTATGCTCTACTTCCTTCTTTTCACTCTGTCATTTAGGTTAGTATTGTGGAGTAACTACAATGTTGTTGATCCATCCTCAGTTTTCTCCTATCAAAGCCATTAAACTCTGTAACTGTTTTAAACTCACCATTGGCCTAATGGTGAAATCCCTGAGCGGTTTCCTTCCTCTCCGGCAACTGAGTTAGGAAGGACGCCTGCATCTTTGTAGTGACTGAGCATATTGATACACCATCCAAAGTGTAATTAATAACTTCACCTAGCTCAAAGGGATATTGATTGTCTGCTTTTATTTTTATTTTACCCATCTACCAATGGGTGCCCTTCTTTGAGAGGCATTGGAAAACCTTCCATGTCTTTATGGTTGAATCTGTGTTTGAAATTCAGTGCTCGACTGAGGGACAATACAAATAATTGTATGTGTGGGGTACAGAGATGTTAAACACTATTACTGCGCACAGAGTGAGTCCATGCAACTTATTATGTGACTTGTTAAGCACATTTTTATTCCTGAACGTATTTAGGCTTTCCATAACAAAGGGGTTGAATTTGAATACTTAATTAATTTGTAAAATTAGCTATAATCATAACTCCACTTTGACATTATGGGGTATTGTGTGTAGGCCAGTCACAAAAACCATCTACATTTAATCCATTTTAAATTCAGGCTGTAACACAACAAAATGTGGGAAAAAGTCAAGGAGTGTGAATACTTTCTGAAGGCACTGTAATTCTGTGGACCATATAATGCATTTCATAAGATGCCCAGTGCTTCAAGCCAAGCCTCCTCCTCCACCCTCTCTCGCTCTCTCCTCACCCGCAAAATTTCAGTCGCATCTTGCGCCCTACACTTGTCTGTCCAACGCATATGAAGAACTATAGCCCATTCCATAGCAAGCTGCTCTATCCACGCTGATTGGTGAAGTAATGTCATGTCCAGCTAAATGTTAAAAAGGTTTCAAAAGGAACAGAAAGGAACAATGTAAACCGTTACTTTTTTTGGGGGTTCAGAACAGTTTAGAACTTTATTTTGCCGGTTCGGAACTAAAAAGAATTATGGGTCTGTTCAGAAAGAAACGATTAGAAAAATAATTTCAGTTATTCTAAAGAAGGTTCTACATGGAACCCAAAAGGCTTCTCCTATGAGGACGGCAGAATAACTCTTCTGGAACCCCTTCTTTCTAAGAGCGTACTGTAAAACCCTAGTACCCCAGACCCCGGGTCAAGGTCCAAATCCTACCTAAGCCCTTCCCCTAATTGATTGCCTGCAGACTCCTGTCCTCCCCTGATAGGCTATAATGGTGGTGATTGCTCTACAGCCTCTCAACCAATCAACCAAGGGTTACAACATGATCACTTCGTTTAGCCTGCATAATTCTAGTCTCTCCCCAACAGACAGAAACCATCTCTGAACGAGCCAGCACGGTCTGAGACTTCAATCACATGTACTGCATGTTGCCACACAAGGTGTCTCACTTATATGATACAGGGCTGCTTTCTGTGTGTGTGTGTGTGTGTGTGTGTGTGTGTGTGTGTTTGTAATCCCATCGCCCTACCTGATTTGACACTGCAGTGCACGTGGGCCTTGGACTCGTAATAGACCCAGTCGAAGCCAGCCTCCACGGCCAGGCGAGCCAGCATGGCGTATTTGTTCCTGTCCCGGTCTGAGGTGGTGATGTCCACCGCCCGTCCCTCATAATGGAGGGAGTCCTCTGAGTGGTGTCCGTCCTCGTCCCAGCCCTCTGTCACTCTAAGCTTCACCCCAGGCCACATGTTCATCACAGAGATGGCCAGGGAGTTCAGCTTGTCTTTACAACGCTGGGAGAGAGAGAGAGGAGAGAGAGGGATGACTACCAACGCTGGGGGAGAGAAAGGAGAGAGAGGGATGACTAACAACGCTGGGGGAGAGAGAGGAGAGAGAGGGATGAACTAACTGCAACGCTGGGGGTGAAGGAGAGAGGATGAGGAGAGGGGATGATACCAACTCTGGGGGAGAGAGGGAAGGAGATGACTAACAACGGGGGGAGAGAGAGGAGAGAGAGGGATGACTACCAACGCTGGGGAGAGAGAGAGAGAGGGATGACTACACGCTGGGGGAGAGAGAGGAGGAGGAGGGATGACTACCAACGCTGGGGGAGAAGAGGAGAGAGAGGATAACTAACGCTGGGGAGGGAGAGAGGAGAGAGGAGGGATGACTAACCAACCTTGGGGGAGAGAGAGGTAGAGAGAGGGATGACTACCAACGCTGGGGGAGTAGAGAGGAAGAGGAGGGATGACTACCAACGCTGGGGGGAGAGAGAGGAGAGAGAGGGATGACTACCACGCTGGGGGAGAGAGAGGAGAGAGAGGGATGACTACCAACGCTGGGGGAAAGATGAGAGAGAGGGATGACTAACAACGCTGGGGGAGAGAGAGGAGAGAGAGGGATGACTACCAACGCTGGGGGAGAGAGAGGAGAGAGAGGGATGACTAACAACGCTGGGGGAGAGAGAGGAGAGAGAGGGATGACTACCAACGCTGGGGGAGAGAGAGGAGAGAGAGGGATGACTACCAACGCTGAGGGAGATAGAGGAGAGAGATGGATGACTACCAACGCTGGGGGACGAAGAGAGGAGAGAGGGATGACTACCAACGCTGGGGGGAGAGAGAGGAGAGAGAGGGATGACTACCAACGCTGGGGGGAGAGAGAGGAGAGAGAGGGGATACTACCAATGCTGGGGGAGAGAGAGGAGAGAGAGGGATGACTACCAACGCTGGGGGAGAGAGAGGAGAGAGAGGGATGACTAACAACACTGGGGGAGAGAGAGGAGAGAGAGGGATGACTACCAATGCTGGGGGAGAGAGAGGAGAGAGAGGGATGACTAACAACGCTGGGGGAGAGAGAGGAGAGAGAGGGATGACTAACAACGCTGGGGGGAGAGAGAGGAGAGAGAGGGATGACTAACAACGCTGGGGGAGAGAAAGGAGAGAGAGGGATGACTACCATAATAGGATATTAGAGTAAGAGGCAATGGTAGTAATGGAACCACAGTAGAACAAGAAAATAGATACAAACTGATAACAAACAGACATGATGGTTATGACAGAGAAAAACACAAATACAAACTGATAACAAACAGACATGATGGTTATGACAGAGAAAAACACAGATACAAACTGATAACATAGAAATAGACATTTACACAGAACAAAAACATGTAGGTGAAGCATTGGACTAGGTCTATATGCATACATATGAACTAAATACAACATAAAAGACTTGAGAAAACACTACATAGAAGAGGAAGAACAAATTACATTATATAAATAAAACATTATATATAATCAAATATATACCGTAAATGTAATAAAACGATTAATGAAAATCTCACAGGGAAACAACTAAATACAAAGACTATATATCATAAACACATAAAGGCTGCTGAGCTTTACGCTACACCCTCAATAACATCTGCTAAATATGTGTATGTGACCAATACAATTTAATTTGATTTGAGCTGTTGTCACAAGTGGTCAAAGTGCCATAGACATGTAGACTACAGACATGTATTCTCTTTACACATTATTTGCTATGCTCCTGTATGTTTGCCTCCCAATAAAATAGAGATAAGTATTGACATGATATGTCTTGTGTTTCTCGATGGTCTTGTTTTTAGACGAGATCAGAGAGGTTTCGCTGAACAAGTCTGCAAATAAACCGCGAGCTTTTCAAACATATAATCCATGCATCATTTCACTGTCCACTCGACATGAATAACAAGAGCCTTTGAAAATAGTTCTATCATTTAGAGATATTATACATATTAGACATGTTTGAGAAGGGTTATATAGCAACGTTTGAAATAGATTTGAATATATTATGATCGATAAAATTCAACCAGTTATCAATTCATTAAATTCGTTCCCTTTTATTTTGCTGATATCCACGTGCATGCGTAGCCTAATTTATCTCTAAAACAGGAGACAAGTTAGCACAAGCTAAACATCTAAAAGGAGGTTAGTTACAGTGTTGCAATATAACCCACAGAATTGACGTGTAGACTAGCCTCATTTTCAACTGTCAACAGAAATCCGTTGAACCAAAACACAGATGAAAGCGCTGAAAATCAATAAAGTTTGAAGTAACGGTTTAAACATTTAACAAAGTGCAAACAGACGCTCTCAAAACTACAGCTGTCAAAGTGGGATAAAAACATCAGATGACGTTTTAAAACCCCATGCCTGCTTCTCACCTGGGTCATAAGTCGATCCGCGGCCGTATTCTCCTCATCTTTAAATATGATATCAGGGTTATAGTTGGGTATAAGCTCTTTGAAGCGGTCTGAATTTCTCGTTATTTTCCCTTCGTGTCTGCCACTGGCGCCCAGTGTTTTCTCCGCAACGTTTGGACTGAACTGCTTATAAGCGAGGGGTGTGAGCTTCTTCGGCGGACGTCTCTTGCCATATCCCCTCCCCGGCCCACATCCCTCGGTTACAGGTGCGTGAAGCAGGGCGCACCCGATGAAGAGGCCCACAAGCACGGAGAGACGCATCCCAACCAGACCGGCCGGGCCGGGCACTCCGATGCGGAGTGGTAAGGTGGCACCGGTCGCCGTGGTGTCTCAAGCTACCCCCTCCCCCTGGATGCTTCTTGTTCCCCCCACGGGGTAAGGGATGGGGGGTAGGGGCCAGAATCTTTAATATTGTATCGGACTAATCCACGCCATCATCCGTGCGCACAGCAACTGTCCGTAAAAGCCAAAAAATACATTAACTTAGCCGAATGCGTTTTATGGAAAGACAGCGGGGTAAAGGTTCAATGTCTCTGTCGTCCGCGTCCGGTGTTGTCCAAAAGCTGCGAATAACTGTAACTTCTTTCTTCTCGTCGGGACTCAACAGATATGGGCATGGAGTTGTAAAGTCAGTTTATTTAAACAAAAAGGTTCAAAGTCGATCTTCTTTAGTGAGCAGTGGTCGCAGATTGTCTTCTTGATGCTGTGGTTTGCCACTGAAGAGCTGTCAATGTCCAACGAGGAGGAACACTGATGGTTCTGGGGTTTCTCCTTCTTGTCTGTTTGTCCCCGGACTCCAAAGGTTTCTTCTCAATGGGGCATGCTTCCGCTTTGCATTTCCAATTGAATTGGGAATTTGAGGGAAACCGAGCGATCAGTTGCCACTCGAGACCGCACCCTGCCAGTCCTGCACTTCTATCGTTCTCTGCCACTCCGCCCATCGGGTCACTGTAGTGCCACTGCCCCGTCCTCTACACCCATGGCACCACCACAGGTTCTGCCCCCCCCCCCCCCTAGCCTGCCACCTCAGAATGCCCGTCAGGCGCTAAAACTTGCATCGCTCTGACTCTGTGACTGCTCTGCTGCAGCGGAAAATGGACAAATTACGGTATGGAGGAGTTAGTAGTTACAGTGTGCGCACGCTGACATCTTCTGCCCCAAATAGCACCCTTCTGCCCCAAATAGAACCCTATTGCCTATGTAGCGCACTACAATGTAAGGGATAGATAGTGCCTCGAGCCTCTAACTTCTCCTGAAATCTCTTTATCAGCTCCTGTCTATGTTGACACTGCATGACAATGCATACAGCCTTGGGCTGTACCGTGTTGCACTGTAAGCATGACAATGATGGCCAGGACAACTAATTGCATGGGCGATTATTAAGCTAGTCAAGGTAGTCTACTCGCCTACTCATTTTCTATAATTCAGAAAATACGTGTTATAATGTAGCCTAGATATTCTGTATGCTTGAATGTGTAACATGACTTGGGTTAACAGACACTGACATGACTTGGGTTAACAGACAATGACATGACTTGGGTTAACAGACACTGACATGACTTGGGTTAACAGACACTGACGTAACTTGGGTTAACAGACAGAGACATGACTTGGGTTAACAGACACTGACATGACTTGGGTTAACTGACACTGACATGACTTGGGTTAACAGACAATGACATGACTTGGGTTAACTGACACTGACATGACTTGGGTTAACAGACAATGACATGACTTGGGTTAACAGACACTGACATGACTTGGGTTAACAGACAATGACATGACTTGGGTTAACTGACACTGACATGACTTGGGTTAACAGACACTGACATGACTTAGGTTAACAGACACTGACATTACTTAGGTTAACAGACACTGACATGACTTGGGTTAACAGACACTGACATAACTTGGGTTAACATACATTGCCATGAGTGGACAAAACATGAAGACCACATGCCCTTTCCATGACATAGACTGACCAGGTGAATCCAGGTGAAAGCTATGATCCCTTGTTGATGTCACTTGTTAAATCCACTTCAATCAGTGTAGATGAAGGGGAGGAGACAGGTTAAAGAAGTATGTTTAAGACTTGAGACAATTGAGACATGGATTGTGTATGTGTGCCATTCAGAGGGTGAATGTGCAAGGCAAAATATTTAAATGCAAAAAGGGGGGTGGGGGGGGGGTGGGGGGTGCAACATTGGATAGAACTCCCTAGAAAAATCAGTATCACCCTGTTAGCAGTATGCAGGGCTGTTGTCCTACAGTGCATTCCAACTTATCAGGTCAAAGTAAGTGTGATACCAGAGTGCTTCCTTCTGCTTTTCACTCTTTAAGTAAACTGCTCTTGTAGCAACTCTGATCTGATCAATACAGCTGCTGAGAAACAGGAAATAAAACCAGCGGATCAATATTAGTTCGTAAACCAAACCAGTGCGAGAGAGAGAGACAGCCTGTAGAGACTGGAGAGAGAGCGAGAGAGAGAGCGAGAGAGAGAGAGAGAGAGAGAGAGAGAGAGAGAGAGAGAGAGAGAGAGAGAGAGAGAGAGAGGATCAATATTAGTACGTAAACCAAACCAGTGCTCCTTGTACCACCAATAGTAATACTTACGTAGGCGCTTACATTTGTCCTAGATCACACGTGTACAAGTATGTATTCTACACGGGTGTTTTTAGTATATCCCAACTTCCCCTGAGACACCCTCAGAGTGGGGTGACAGCCAGGGTCTGCCATTGTCAACAGCAACCCTGGGAGCAATTTGGGTTAAGTGCCTCGCTTATCAAAAATCGAATCAAATCAAACTTTATTTGTCACATGCGCCGAAAAACAACAGGTGTAGACCTTACCCCGTGAAATGCTTATTTACAAGCCCTTAACCAACAATGCAGTTCAAAAAAGAGTTAAGAAAATATTTACTAAATAAACTAAGGTAAAAAATTATAAAAAGTAACACAATAAAATAACAATAACGAGGCTATATACAGGGGGTACCGGTACAGAGTCAATGTGCAGGGGTACAGGTTAGCCGAGGTAATTTGTACATGTAGGTAGGGGTAAAGTGACTATGCATAGATAATAAACAGCGGGTAGCAGCAGTGTAAAAACAAAGGGGGGGGTCAATGTAAATAGACCAGGTGACCATTTGATTAATTGTTCAGCAGTCTTATGGCTTGCGGGGGGGGGGGGGGGGGGGGGGGGGGGGGGGGGGGGGGGGGGTAGAAGCTGTTAAGGAGCCTTTTGGTCCTAGACTTGGCACATCAACAGATGCTTCACCTTGTCAGCTCAGGGATTCAAACTAGCGACCTTTCGGTTACTGGCCCAACAGTCTAACCACTAAGCTACACGCAGCTCAGCTCCTTCACGAGGAGAAAGCAAAGCACAGCCAACCAGAACCCAGGGTCCTATTCATAAAGGGTCTCAAAGCCAACCAGAACCCAGGGTCCTATTCATAAAGGGCCTCAAAGCCAACCAGAACCCAGGGTCCTATTCATAAAGGGTCTCAAAGCCAACCAGAACCCAGGGTCCTATTCATAAAGGGTCTCAAAGCCAACCAGAACCCAGGGTCCTATTCATAAAGGGCCTCAAAGCCAACCAGAACCCAGGGTCCTATTCATAAAGGGCCTCAAAGCCAACCAGAACCCAGGGTCCTATTCATAAAGGGTCTCAAAGCCAACCAGAACCCAGGGTCCTATTCATAAAGGGTCTCAAAGCCAACCAGAACCCAGGGTCCTATTCATAAAGGGTCTCAAAGCCAACCAGAACCCAGGGTCCTATTCATAAAGGGCTGATCCAGGATCAGTTTAGCCTTTTAGATCGTATTGGTTAAGATTACACTGACAGGGAGGACCTGATTCTATTGGTTAAGATTACACTGACAGGGAGGACCTGATTCTATTGGTTAAGATTACACTGACAGGGAGGACCTGATTCTATTGGTTTAAGATTACACTGACAGGGAGGACCTGATTCTATGGTAGATTACCACCAGGGAGGACCTGATTCTATTGGTTAAGATTACACTGACAGGGAGGACCTGATTCTATTGGTTAAGATTACACTGACAGGGAGGACCTGATTCTATTGGTTAAGATTACACTGACAGGGAGGACCTGATTCTATTGGTTAAGATTACACTGACAGGGAGGACCTGATTCTAGATCAGCACTGCACTACTACTCTGAGAGGCTTGATGAATACATCCCCTGGTTTCTGTAGGTTGATGAATACATCCCCTGGTTTCTGTAGGTTGATGAATACATCCCCTGGTTTCTGTAGGTTGATGAATACATCCCCTGGTTTCTGTAGGTTGATGAATACATCCCCTGGTTTCTGTAGGTTGATGAATACATCCCCTGGTTTCTGTAGGAAATCTCTGAGTAAAGGAATCACTAGTGGGTTCGCTGTAAAGTAAATCACTGACTGTGTTTATATGGAGCCTAATAAACTTCTAAACTTTTTACACAACACCACACACCCAAAACACCACACCAAAACACACACAACACAACACACACACAAACACCACACACACACACACCACACACACACACACAATCACACCACCCCCAACCCCCACACCACACACACACTTCCACACCCCACACTATCTCCACACACACAACACCACACAACACACACACAAGCCCACAAACCCACACACCCCCACACACATTCTCTCACAACCCCCACACCACAACACACATTTCCTCACACACAACACAACACACGCCCTTCACCAAAAACACCCAACATTTCCTCACACACCCCACATAACACAGCTCCCACACACACAAACACCCAACCACTTCACCACACCCCCAAACTCTTTCTCCAACACCACCCACACAACACAACACACACCCACCACTCAAATAAATGATGAGAAAAATGGGGAACGTAACTTTTCTTTTATGGGAAAATTTTCCTGGGAAAGTCCTCTCTGAGTGTAAACATTTCATACCATAAAAACGGTTGTACTTTTCTGCCTGCGGAAGAGAAGAGAGAGGAGAAAGAAAAAGGGGAAGAAGAACCCCTTTAAAATAGACGGGAGAGAGGAAAAGGAGAGAGAGAAAAAGGGTAGAAGAGGAAGAAGAGAAGAAGAAAAGAGAAAAAAGGGGAAAAAAAGGAGACGAAAAAGAGAGATAGAGGGGGGGGGGGGGGGGGGGGCCCCCCCCTTTTCCCCGGGGGGGGGTTTTTTTCCCCCGGGGGGGGGGGGCCCCCTTTTTTTGGGGGGCGGGGGGGGCCCCTTTCAAAAATAA